ATTTCGGAAGCAGAACGCCTGTAAATATAGTCTATTAGTCAGCGAATCTTGTTTCGTTGATTTCGGGAGCAGAGCGCCTAAAGAAATTGTCTGCGAACCTTGATTCGCTTCGTTTCGTTTCGTTTCGCAAAATACCATAAACCGGCCGTTATTGGTATTTTGCGAAACAAGGCATCTAGCGAGAACAGTTTTCGAAGAGAGGGAATAATTTCTTGTCGCGTCTGTAAGCCTGTCTTTTCTTTATCTAGCAAGACAATTTTCGGGAGCAGAGCGCCTAAATAAATTGTCTGCGAACCTTGCTTCGCTTCGTTTCGTTTCATTTCGTTTCGTTTCATTTCGCAAATTACCGTAAGCCGCCTTCAAGGCCAGAAATTGCGCAGCGTTATGTTGAAAATTCTGAAAAAACTTCAATTTGACGCAAAATCTTTTATTAAACAATACCTTTTGAACACATTGTTACTTGAATATATTGTTTACCGGGTCATCGAATCGTCAAATTGTCGCTAGGCCCTGCTTGAATTCCGAAAGTTCGGTTTTCACTTTACGCCCATAATTCGCAACACCTCAGAGAATCGTAGTGTCGTCGACTCGAGAGCTTATTCTGTCACCTTTAAGACCTTGATATCCATTCTTTTCCAAGCAGAGTATTCTATAGCATCGTTACTTTACATTCTGAATTCCACAAGGTCTAACTCGATTGCAAATGAACGAAAAATCTGACCTGAAAATTGAGGGTCGGCCGTGTGGACGCCATATTTTCAAATTTGATCATTTGGTGAAGACGCATAGAATAATGCCCCTCTAGTACCCCCTAAAGTTGACAAAATATATGCACAAACAAAGGATTCTGATTGGCTTATTGATCTCCAAACTGTAGAGGAAGTTTGGGGAAAAACTCCACTTAGTTGGGGAGGTAGGTGGGAAAGCGTTCTCGCGCGAGGTGATCGCAAGGTTCAGGCAGTTATGGGCGGTTCAGGTGTCAATGTGTTAATTAATTAATAATGTAAATTACGCATGCCATGTTTGATTTTAATCCTGAAATGCTTGTTTGTGCGGCGTAGATTTCCTTGAGGTCGCAAAAATGTGTTTCATACATGATGTAGTTCGTAGAAAGAAAGTGCTCAAACTGAAGTCAACTTAGCGTAAGATAAAATCTTCTTCACTTACCTCCAAAGGCTGACTTGAAGCTCTCACTCGGATGCCCACCTGCCATTTGCTTTGTGCTCATGCAAGCATAAAGTTTTCACTCAGTTATAAGCCGCCTGAAAGATGCGGGTATACAGCTCAGTAAGACTTAGATGTATCAGCAATCATCGGAATGGAAAGAAAATCAATTGGGAAAAATTTGGATGTATCAACAAAGTTGAAATGTATACGTATGATGCACGATCCTCGCAGTAGATAGTGCTATTTATGCAATAGCGAAAATCAGACCTGAAAAAAAAAATATTGCAGTTCAAAATATATGAACTTCATATATTTCATTGTATCTGAAAGTTGAAATGGTAAATTGGCCACCGTAACGATTACAAAAGCTGACGTTTCGAGAGTTAGGCAGGGGTCGCACTGTGGCCTTATTTTTTTTTTTATGTCGCGTCATAAGTTGTCCTACAAATATGTCGCGACGTTTACATCAATAGAGTCATGGAGGTCGCACTTATGCGAGATAAAGGATATATTTGAAACCAGACTGTCAACTCTTAATATTTCACGCGTGAAAAGAGCACCAAATAAAACTTTGCAGACATGAAGCTGGTGCTAGTTTTATTAGCGACATTTCTTCATTCTCTGTTTAATTTGTTCAATCTACAAAACCTTATTGATTTGTACGCATTGTACAAAACTCGCCAACGGCAAATGTTGGCTCTTACCGCTTTAAACCGACGTCGATGGATGCGAAAACATGGGAAAATATCTGCGAGCCAAAGGGTGAAAACAAGCCATTCCCATACTGAGAATAATCAGGTGAAGAGTGCAAATTTGTAAATTGGTATGGGTTGAAATTCGCCATAGGGACCAGATAAAACGTGTAACTAATATATTGAACTGATAGCTAGCTGTGCACACGTGTTGTCTTTGCAGAATTGCGAAAATCCAAAATTTTGCTTGTATTTCAGATTTGATCGACGTTGCGACAGAAGAAAAACAAAAATTGTTATTTTAAGGCGATAAGACGAGATATGGCCTGCCTCGAGGCAAGACATCGGCTTTTTAGATCTTTAGGTCCTTCGGACATAGTTATGTCTGGTTGCGACAAAAGGGTCGCACTTGTCGCAAGCACGCGATGAAAGATTTTATGTCCAATGTAAACACCAAAAGCGTAAGTGCGACCCCTGCCTTAGCTCTTCGTCCGACGAAGGGCTAACGCTCGAAATGTCAGCTTTTGTAATCGTTACGGTGGCCAATTTACCATTTCAACTTTGTTGATATATCCAAATTATTTCGTTACTCCCACCGACGCAGCCCCAAACAGCTTCTTTCGAAACTGTCAGCCTTTATTCAATTGGGAAAATGGTTTGTCCAGTCGTGTCCTAAAATTAATTCACATATACAAGCGGATTTCGTCGCCAAATGACGCAGACAATTTTAAGAGGAGGCATTCAGGAAGCTCACATTTTCATTTTCGAAACACTTACCTTTGGCTCCACGCTATCGATAGTTTCCGTAAAATCTGAACGTTTGTATGGAGATTATTTCAAATAAACGCATGAATCACAGATTACGTCCTCTTCCTGTCGTAGTTTTTTGTGATGGTACTGATAGTTTTCCTTACTATATCATATCACGGACACATCACGAGTGAAGCTATATCGAAGGCGTTCGTTGAGGGTAAGAATAAACAGTAATTTTGGTCAGCGGGCAAATTATGAAACCCGCGAATATTGCGAAATCCCGCGAAAGGATGACATTTAAAACCTGAAGACAATTTTTGACTAAGACACTAGAATGCGTAATGATGGCGACGACTCAGTAAATATATGAAAATAATATATGTGTACCGCGCTTTCGTAAAATGTATGAAAGCGTTCCTCGCACTAATAAACCCTACTTATCTACTAAGTGGAAAAAAGGCCTGAAAACATTTTAGGCCCGTACGGGATTTGAACCTATGACCTCTGCGATACCAGTGCAGTGCTCTACAAACTGAGCTAACAATTAAGCCAACTGGGAGCAGGTCATTATGTTGGTTCGTATTAAACCCGTTAATGAATTTGAATAAATGAAAATCATATATGTGTACTGCGGTTTCATAAAATATATGAAAGCGTCCCTCGCAGTAATAAACCCTATTTATCTAGTAGCGACTAAGTACTGTAGATCGACATGACTTATTGACTTGCCCTGTTCTACCAACAGAAGAGCGAACATGATAGGCATGCAAAGTCTACTTTCAGTACTTATAACAAGTGTAAAATTATTGAGTCGTAAGTGAAAAAAGCTGTTCCTTCAATTTAAAACGGCAGTCACTTTGAGAATAAAGTAACCCTTTATTTGCCTGTCATGATATTTGTAGTGAGGTCGCTGACGCTAAAACGGGCTGGCTTTCTCTATCATGGCCTTAAGAGTCAAAGTATGAGACCTGACCCAATCAAAAAGAAGACATATTTAAGTGAATGATAATGAAATACATGTTCCGTCCGCTGTAGGAGAAACATCAACGTCTGCATCACGGTGTGCCATAACGACGATGGAGAAGATTGGCTGGGATGCGACAGTTGTGGCCAGTACTTCCACGCAAGTTGCATATTCTTCCCAGTGTGGGAAGACAGTTGTGGCCTGTACTTCCACGCAAGTTGCATATTCTTCCCAGTGTGGGACTGGCTTAAGACTAAGCATGGCTGTGTACAATTCCTGAAATTTCCGTTATTTCATGAATTATTTGACGCTTAAGTGTTGACAAGTTTTTCGTGTTACGTAAGTAAAAAATTGACTCAACACTCCAAGGAAAATCTCTCTTAAAATTAACCCTTTAAGATTCGAAGTTACCGTCCAAAATTCAAACGTTACTGTTAGGTTCATTGACGCATTGATAGCCTTGTAAGTAGCCAAAACATACTGAAAAAATTTTCATTAGTTTTTGTATATCTTCATCCTTTGTTCGGGCTTAAACTTTTCGTGGGGAACACGTGCTACAGCTTACACGACGTAATTTAAATTTAACCGCTGTACTATAAACTTGTGTGTTCGACCCTCGACGAACACCTTCGATATAGCGTCACATCACGGGGCGACAGAGCTGAATAACGTATACGCATGCGCTAGATTTTGCCGCGGAGACGCGGAGACAGATCACTGGCGACGATCGAGCGGGGCAAGACAAATGGTGCTAGATATGAGTGGTCAGCAGTAAAATAGCTTTAATAACTCATGAAGAGACAAATCACTTGTAGTTGTTTTATGATCGTGGTATCAATCCCGAAATGTTAACATTAAACTTTGCTAAATAACAAGTTAAGCAATCTTTCAAAAGCGCCGACTAGACAAATATCTTTCACTGCTCTAAATAGCAACGAAGGTAACGGGAAAGGCATCAAAAAATGATATTTTTGTTTGGTAACTTGCCACGTGACGAAAAGAAAGTATCGTGACTTCGGTTGTCCAAGGTGTTAATCACAGCTGGCGCGCTTTTCACTTGATTTTTGCAATCTCTACTTTTTTTTTTCCTGGGAAATGAAAGCTAGGGAACTCTACAAAAATCGAGTTCTCGATCTGAAAGATTTTTGAGTCTTTTATAAGTTTGTATCCACAGGTTAAGAAGAACTTTCATAACAAACATTCTACCAGCTAAAGTTCTCTTACTTCAGATTATATATAAACAATCGCCTCCTTTCCATGTGAAAATATGCAAGGAAGAAAACTCAGAGCTTCAAGGAACTGCCAAATTAAGGCTAATGTGTTTACCATCCCTTAAACGTTTCTTATAAAGGCCACTCGTTTTAGGAGGCCTTTTCTCAAAACAACCGTATGTTAAAATAATCATGTTTTCGTTAAGATAAAGACAAGACAAAAACTCTAGTAACGCTTCGGGTAAGTCTAGGTTACGTTTACGTAAACTAATTATGGACACCTAACTAATAGTAATTGAAAGTTAAGAATTATAATTAAAATCCTAAAACTTATAAGTCCCTCACCGTAGGATGCTTAATAACCCTTGTCGCATATGTTAAAATAATCATGTTTTCGTTAAGATAAAGACAAGACAAAAACTCTAGTAACGCTTCGGGTAAGTCTAGGTTACGTTTACGTAAACTAATTATGGACACCTAACTAATAGTAATTGAAAGTTAAGAATTATAATTAAAATCCTAAAACTTATAAGTCCCTCACCGTAGGATGCTTAATAACCCTTGTCGCATTTACGTCCACTGTGCGAGAGCTCAGCGGACTTTGAAGTTTCGAAACGAGGCTATCGGGTCACACATAAAACTTTCAAGTAAAATCGAAGCAAACGGCTACGTTTAGAGGCATTTTTATTCATTTTCTTAAGGATACAGCATGTTCTCGTCATGGTTAGACATTGTATTGCGTATGGGTGCAACAGTCTATTCAGTGAATCGGTAACTGATGAGATCCACAAGATTAGGATCGAAACCGCGGTCTTGCCAAACACGTTCAACTATCAAACCAGAGGCGAACAAAACGCACATAAAAAACCTCTCAAATAAAGAACTTACAAACGACCAGATTAATTTAAAGGCAAAAGGGCTTAAATTCATTGCAACACCCGCTACAAAACAAAAACAGATCAGACAACAACTATTGTGTGACGTTGATCAGTTCGCAAGGAGAATGCGTCTGATTTACATATTCCGAGGGAAGGACAAAAAAACCCATCCCTGCTACGTCAAATCTACATGGATACCACCAATACAAAAACCAGTAGCCCTTGAAAGCTATTTAGAAGAGGTTAAAAGTGACCTCCCAGAAATAGAAATTACAAAGCCAAAAGATAATTTGCTTCCGGCCGAACGCAAGGCGCTGAGGGCCTTGAAATGTGACTCCGCTGAGTTAAACCTAAAAAAGGCCGACAGAGGAACAACAACCGTAGTCAGGAACAAACGCGACAAAATTTTGCCGTTCCTTTCCGAAATGACAGTCATTCTTTCAATCTTCCTTTCGTGATGCCAGGATAATTACCACTAAGAATTTGAACCTTTACCGCAGCAGAAAAAAGCGCAGATTCCCCAGAGATATATGGTCAGACATAGAGTGTTTCTGGAGTTTCTCGAGAAACGTTGACCCGATAGCCTCGTCCTGAGAGTGTAACTCCGCGGACCCTTTGCATTGCAGACACAAATGCGATAAGGGCTATTAACTACTGCACGCAAAGTGTACATTTTTTTTCTAGCTACTGTGCATGCGCGAGTAGCTACAATGCTATCGTTTTGATGAATAGAGTCGATTTTACCGGATCACGATCGATTTTCTTGGCGTACGATAATGCCGGTAGTAAATTTGATAAGCATCTAATTTCGATAAACATCCAATTTCGATAGACTACAGGTTATAAAAACACAAACAAACTTATTGTTTAGAGCTTTTCTTACTTCGAATCTGGTCGATTTTACAAGGGTTTTTGCATTCCGAAGCGGCTTTCGGACACCTTCGGATCACGATCGATTTTCTTGGCGCATGATAATGCTGGTAGTAAATTTGATAAGCATCCAATTTCGATAAGCATCCAATTTCGATTGACTTTACAGGTTATAAAAACACAAACTTATTGTTTAGAGCTTTTCTTACTTCGAATCTGGTAGTACGTCTTTTTGTGTCAAATACATGAATACTAGAGTAACAAGCGAATTCACCGACCACTTTCTGTAAAAGTGCGATCTCTTTCCGTAAAAATCATCGACTGTGAAACGTTCCACAACGTTGCATTTCTCCTCGTGTCCCCAACCGCGAATGGTGAATGCTCTACCTTCGTCGACAAAAGGTAAGATTTGCCGTGTTTTCTTGTTATTTTCTGCGTATAATTGGGCAAAGCACCCAAGTATTATGTCCAGTGTTTTCTTATAAAGCGTTTCTCAGGGGTGTTGAAGGTTCAAACTATTGGTAGGACTGCTGTAATTGGTCAGCAGTGTTGCGCATGAGAAGAAGCATCGTGTGTTTTGGTGTAGAAAGCATGGCTGACAGCATAGTCCACTCTACTAACTATGCTGACAGCCTGAATAAAGTTGGCTCGTTGTGTTTGTTCAGCTGTTCCTGTTCTTGTCTGTATCGGCCGGTCAACAAAACAAAGTTTAGACTTAAAAAAAATCGCTGAGTGTGAGTCGCCAAGATTTTGTCGAACATGGCGGCCGAGTGATTTCTGCAGCCAAACAGCCCGGAATACTGTGAAGGCACTAGAGAACACCGACCTAAACCAGATGAGTCATCGATATGTCAGCGGCGTCTTACAAAATGAACCCTCGACTTCCGCTCATTTGATCGATCGCTGCGAGAATGTTGACTGAGTTTAAAATGGGTCAATTTTTGACAATAACAGTTTATATTACTAAAAACTGTTAAATCTACAATAGATTCAGCAGTATTACGCCGAATTACGTGGCTTATTGTCGTTCCGAGGAACTTAGCTGAGGCTGGTTTCGGTCGATGTTATTTAGTGTCCACACGCCGCGAAATACTATCTAACATCGACCGAAACCAGGTTTCAGTGAGAGAAACTAAGAGGAGAAGACAACGTTTTGCTGTTAAGTATGTACTTTATTGACATGTTATCTTGTTAAAAGTAAAAATCGAAGTTCATAGAAACAAGGCTTGCAAATAATACATGTAAATAGAAGGCCGGACAATCTCGGGGGGAAAAACCCATATTAGAGGGGCGGAGATGCTCTGAAGGAGACCAATCTGTGCGTGGCCCAACCCCTTAAAGCGATCATTTTAAACTTTGATCACATGACTCGTGTAAATAAAACAAATTGAAACACATCTGAGCGCGCTAAGAAAAATCCATTGAAAATAGAATTTCGAAAAGATATTGTCGAGTCTTACAAACCTATTGTTTTAAGCCGAGCCTCGACCAATTTCCACGTCGCAGAATATCAGTCATTTATCGGATAATCACTTATTTTTACCTCACATGCTTTGTGGTCTGGGTGTGGACACTTGAGCCGTGACAACCTTAGATAAAATAGCTGTACATAGCTAATTAAGAAAAGGTTGCCGCTCTATGAGTACCCGAGCGTTTCCGCCCAAACCGACAACTGCCATGGGTAAAAGCATTCGTCCTCGTTCCACGGTATCTGCTAGGCTGATTTCAAACAATAGAACTAGTACTTCAATGTACGAATCTTATCTAATCTGTAACTAAACACTACCTTGACTTAAATGACGCCATTTTGACGTTTCTTTAGCTATTACCCAAAATATCTAGTAGTATGGGTGCATGGGCCTTACGACAACCTTTTCTAAAATAGCTGTACATACTAGACTGCACCCTATTCACATATCAATGCAAACAAAACATTGTAGCTACACGCACGCATTGCGAGCCTATTTTTACAATTATCTTCCATCATAGCAACTAGATCTCATTTTTGGATTTTCGTTTTAAACGTATTTAAAGATTCTGAATTTCTGACTTTCATTTCTAATCTTGACCAGAGAAATGGACCCATATATCGTAAGCTATGTTTTCCGTACCTCACGGTATCATTGAGTCTTGTTATAACAAAATCTGAGTTTCTTAAGCTATAACGATCATTGATGTTATTTTACATTGTTCTTTAATGTATGAAGGACAAAAATTTTCAAAATTTTTCTTTCTATTCACTTTAACAGATGAACCCGGTATGAAAACTAAACGTTCGAATCGAACAAAAGCAAAACATTTTGAATACCTGGATGTTCCTCATATTGTTGGCTCCATCGCCTAACGATTTTGGACCAGTGACACTCCCGAATATATATTTTGATTGATTACAAAGAACTGTATTCGTTATCCTGGTAGATTAAGGTCTATACATGACATTTAAGTCCACTTGATCTGAAAAGAAGCCTCCGTAACGGCAGGTGAAATGTTGTGTAAGCGTCTCTGCGAAAGGCACATTCAGACAACTTGCGTGGAAAAACTGGCCACAGCTATCGCACCCAAGATAATCCGAATGAGGAGATTCAATCTTACTGGTTGTGGAGTTTTCCGGGAGTGATTAAAAAATCATTCAGATTGAGAACTCAATTTTTGTAGAGTTCCCTAGCTTTTATTTCCTGGAAAAAAAGTAGAGCTTGCAAAAATCAAGTGAAAAGCACGTCAGCTGTGATTAACGCCTTGGACAACCGAAGTCATGACACTTTCTTTTCGTCGCGTGGCAAGTTACCATACAAAAATATCATTTTTTGATGCCTTTCCCGATGCCTTCGTTGCTTATTAGAGCAGTGAAAGATATTTTTATGGTCGACGCTTTTGCAAAATTGCTTAACTTGTTACTTAGCAAAGTTTATTGTTGACATTTCGGGATTGATACCACGAATTTGTAGTTGTTGTATTAACTAATCGTGGTATCAATCCCGAAATGTCAACAATAAACTTTGCTGAGTGTCAGGCCTTCCTAAGGGGCTAGGGGAGGGGGAGAAGAGAAAGGTTTCTGCTTTTCGCTCTCTCACTTTCTCGCTTCTCTCTCACCCCTTTCTGCCAGAAACGGCTGATACTCAGGCTACAAATGACTTGTCTCAACACGATGTTGTAAAGCTATTTCACCGCTGACCACTCATATCTCGAACTATTTTTCTTGCCCCGCTCTTCGCCCGTAATGTAGTCACTCCCATAGTTTTCGAAACGCTTTGGTCGCATGATTTGTCCGATAGCATGACAGAGTAAGATTAAAACTAGAAAAACCATGGATATCTTTGACGTCAGGTGACGTAGACGGCAGAAAAGGCGTCGTTGTTGTATTTTTCAGGCTGGCAGAGGCGAACGCAAGGAGCGAGACTGGCGCGACGAGAGTAGTTAGAAAAACCATGCCGCTCCTTTCCTCGCACTCTCTCGCGTTTGCTTCCATTCGCCAGCAAAAACGTAATAAAAAGATGGTTTGTTATTCGGTGAAAGATCATTTAAAGGAACCCCAGGTGTGAAAAAATAAGAAAAAGAGGAATTGTTTCGCAATAAATATACTCATACATCACAATCTTGTAGCTTGTAAAATCAATGGTCATTCTCTAAATAGAATAGATCAATTTTTTCATGCGCTATCTTAAGAAAATACGTTTTCACTTAAATTTTATAGGTTTCCTCTATACGCAACGCAGTGGATGCGCGAATTAGGGTAGTTTTGTATATATCCTTGAGATGAAGAGTGTTCCATGGGTGTTGTGGATTAGCACGGATGACGACTGAGCTCCAAGATGGCCCGAGACTAGACATAGTCAAGCTTGGCGCGGGTACGGTGTGACGCATTTTCCTTTTTTTATTGTTTTTAATATTTTAATTTTTAATTGGAAACATGCCCCTCGAAAAAAATTAATTGGAGACGGGTTAGTTGGATCACATAAATCATGTATTCATGACATCACTCGAAATTCGTCTTCAGCATAAATTTCCAGTGTCGGGTACAATGATATATACTCTATGCTATCCTTAATTTTATTTTTCTTTTCAAGTCAAAAACTAAAAAAAAAAAAAAAATCAGTTTGGTGCTAACTACAAATAAACCGGGGCCTGAACTGCCTCCCTTATTAAATAAATTCGATTTCGTGGGTGGTTGTACGATGAAGCATAAAACTATAAAATACGCGAGACCACACCTTTATCTATACTGTTCAAAGGACTTGATAAATTTAAAATGCTCTATTGCAAAGCATGTTATAGATTGTAAGCACAGCAAGTGATGATGCACATTATCCAATAACCACACAATTGTGAATCTCAGAAACGATGATTGTTTTATTTGCATCCACAAAACATCTCTGCCACAACCTTTCATTCACTGTCTAAAATAACAGACAAGTGGACCAACGTGTGAAATATCTCTCTTGGCTCCAGCACGCGCTGTTTCGCCTTCTGGTACCAGAAATTACTTTCCAGTTAAATATAATATAGAGAAGCAGGGAAGCAGTTTCAACGGCGCCGTTAGTTGGCAATTCCGCTGGTGATAAAATACAAACGTACTCAGCGGAACCGATGAAAAAGCCAATTGAAAATAAGTTCAGCGGAGCCGAAGTAGAGAATAATCTGAATTCTGTGCCTTGTTGTCTGTCCTGCAGCTTCACCTTGAGTTTCAACAATAATAACATCCAACAAACTATTAATCACTTTTCTCAGTGTTGAGGCAAGCCACACATGTCACAGTTCTCGTGCTCGTGTTGGTTCATAAATGTACAATGCTTACACGACCAGCTTGCACCGCTAGGGGACTGGGATATATCAACCATGTCGACGTCCCTTGATCCTCTTGGCTCTGGAGAGGGGGCTGGGTAGAGAATATCATTAACTGTTCAGTTAGATACCTCGACACAACTCAAAAAAGGAGAAAAACTCAATCAAAACAAGAAACAAAACTTAATAAAACTAGAGGGAGAGAAAGGAAGAGAGAGAAACGATATTAAGGTAGCCACTTCACCGTTTGCTGCTTGCATAAGCTGCATCACAGTGCACCATTCTTCGCTTTTAGTCCAGCGCCGAGCCAAATCAGCGTCTTTGTTTCTAATCGCCGTGCACAGATCTCCCAAGTGATCCTGCCACAACAAATATCACCAAAAAAACTGAAGAGACACATAAACCTCAACATACACTTGGTTGAAAAAAAAGTTCAAGAGTCCAGTCCTTTTAACTGCGTCGTAAGGGCTACAAATTGGTTCAGCCTTGTTATACTACATTGTAAATGGTCAAAAACTTCGTAGTCACTTAACAACCCTTTCGCGCTTGGTGCTTGTCAAAAGTTAATTACGCCAGTTCTTTACACGCTGGAGTATCAGGTTACCTCCAAATTTTCAACTACTTTTTGCATTTACTATGGTTCTGCTTTTTCCAAGACTGAATTCAAAACTCCTCTTTGATGTTGTTCGCCAGTTTCAGGCTGCAGAAGATTCTCTTTGCGATTCACTAGCTTTGAAATAATTACGGTCTTGAAGCGTAAATATGAACATTACCTTTAATGGAAATATGTCGCAAGTTGCCAGAAAAACCAGGAGGTGAAAATTGGACACAGCGGGAAGAAATTCATCGGGAGGGAACTGGTTTAAGTATCTCACTAACGCGTGAAAATCCTAGACACAAGGGAAAAGAAACACACAAAGAATTAAAAGAACTGCATCAAACAACACAGCCAAGTTCAATTTGTACCCAATATAGCAAACAAAAGAAAACTGCCTTTCCAATGAAAAAAAGACGCCTCTGTTAGTATATGGTTATAGGAAGACAGCTACCGATGGCGTGATAAGCGCGTGTGTGCTCGGAAAAGCGACCGTGAGTCGAATCCAAAACTCAAAAGTCTGCTTGCTGGCGAAGCAAACGGTGTTCGTCCTTTAACTCCCAGAAGTGATTAATATGTAACTTCTCCTTAAATACCTATACCTTATCCAACAAACAGGTAATGAGAAAATTCAAACTTATCAGGTAGAAGTTGTTACCTTGATCTGACAACAAATTCTCGTAACTAATTTACAAGAAAATGTGTAGCAGCTAGTGGGGAGAATTAACAAAATCAGATCATGGGAAGACCGCCCGTAACCGACCTTTTTTTTTGAAAACCCTTTGTATCTCCTCACTGATCCATCAGAAGCTCACAGTCAAAATGTCTCACCATATTTTATCGTATTTATGACTTCCACTGCATGTGGGACGCGCTGATGATGCTCTTACCTGAACTTCTCCCATACTTGAGCGGTTTTCTAGCGGGAAAGGTTCTCCCTGACTCTGGTTGGAGAAGGTAAACTGAGGTTCTACAGGAAAAGCAGTCGGCACCTAAATGGAAAACATAGTATAATAGAGGTTTTGCACAGCAGCCATGTTGGATGGCAGGAACAGTAGATTATTTTACCCATGGGAAAAAAATTTCTTTCTTATGCAAAATATTTTCATTAAACACGGCTACTGTGCAAAACCTCTATAATTACAAAAGAAAGAGAAAAAAAAGACGACGAAAATAAAAAGAAAGAAAAGCAAATTTATCACGTTTTGTTCTGTTGCCAAATTGAATACAACATTTAAAAAAATATACATAATTATATGGATGAAAAAAAAATTAAACGGTACCTACCTGAACTAAAAGATATTCTATAGGCATTGGGCGAGCTAGCAGAGTTACTTCATTACCGTACGAGTCAACAGTCTAGAAATACAACAAAATGAATAGATAAATACACTGAAAACTAAGCTTTGCCTCAAGTCTACAGTACACGTTTACTCGCAGTGTAGTTTTAAATGCTACAGACAAACCTTATAGAACACATCCGGGACATACTGATTGCTCGAAGATTCCCGGACGTAGCCGAGGCCTGGTTCATCTATGGTGGGTACCAGGCAGTCGTCACGAACTAACGCCATACACTGATTGGACACCTGAGGGGAATACAAGGTGAAAAATGCAACGAGGCAACGAGAGCACAACACTATAATATGGCCCACAAGGCCTGACGCACACCTTTCATGAAAACATTAAAAAGAAAAAGAAAAAAAAAAAAAACGCATGAGTGACGTACGCGAAGGTGCGAGCAAAGGCCAGAGGGGAAAAGGCGAGTTGCAACAAGAAAAGAAAAAAGTGTCGGAAAAGAAACTCGTTTATTACAATTGAAATTGAATATTAAGTAGAATAGCCTCGATGAACCTTGTAACGTATAAGAATAGTCTCGATATTTCGCAATCCATGATCGAAGTCCGTGGTGTATTTACTGAACCAAATAAGGAGAAAGAACGGATATTTTGTAATAATAGCTTAATTTAGGTGCGTTACATCATTGTGAACTTGTACACGTGATTCCTGGAAAATTACTGCCTCGTGTGGCAGAAAACGTCTGTAAAACGTAGGATTGTTACTTAGTTCGTCTGATCGTGAACGTGATTGTAGTCAGATCGTTGGATTGTGAGAACCGTAGAAATAGAAAAGTATACAGTCCTCTAGATTGTTAAGTGTACCAGCCTACGGGGCCGTAAGAAATCCCCGAGAAAAATGAGGAAGCTCGGTGGTCACACGGTAAAATGTTTTCGTCGCTCACAAATCCGTGTGGCCACGACACGCTGCAAGGTTTTGAACCTGTATATCAATGCGGTATTTTTCTAGTTGTCTGTGATTGTCGTAAAGCTGCCGTGGATATGACAACAATTACGTCACAAATAGTCGTGGTGAAATCCCGGTAATCGCATGCACTGCTTGGAGGCAAAACCGTTCCCAATTTGTTAAATTAACATGAAATATAATTAAAACAACCATACCTGAAAACCATCAAAACCAACTTGGTTATCCGTGTTACCTATAAATGTTAAGAAAAATATGTAGAAATACTTTGAAATAATCAGACACAAGAGGTGATTAAAAAATATATATATATATATTTATATATATATATATTTCTTGTCGGTAGTATTCCCCGAGACTGGTGTGACATACTCGTTACAGCAAGGAAACACAGATCTAATGATTCGCGGTGAGCTGAACTTAACTGTAGGCTCACAGCTGGGATCAGTGAAGTAAACCTTGCCCCTCATTGGTTATTCCGAGTCTTAGCAAGTAAAGCATTATTTTGAAATAGTGAACTCTCAGATGGCAAGAATGAAAATTAAAAAGATAAACAAGATAAGAAAACACGAGACATGGGAAGAGAGTTATAGTAGGGGTTACACTGTATCGCAGCTGCTCTGCACCAATTTTATTTTGGCTCCAAAAATATAATTTTGAATCGGGACTCTGACACGTACCTGACACAACAACGGTGGAAAACTTTGATCCAAATTTTCCATTTGAAGATAATTTACACGGTGATGGATGCTGATTCTGCAATTGACCAGCCAAGATGGATTCCTCAGCAGTGAGGAAATGTGTATTAATATCTCGTAAATGCTTCACGGTTCCTTTTCTTACGTCTTCGGCAACAAGGTCCGTAAATATCCAGCCCACCTTCTGAAGGCCTAAATCAGCAGCCAGCTTGTCAACTATGGCTTCAGCGGGGTCCGAAAGGAGCTTAATGCTGTCCGGAGTGCCTTCCTAATAAGGAAAAGAAACTTAACAACATGCATAGGTGGGACACGAGGTGAAATCGTAGATAAGTAATTGTAAAAAACATATTGCAGCGTTCGTGGTCGTGTCACGCCCTATATAAACAGGGTCCACGACCACCAACAAAAATCTGCGGGTGCAGTCCATGAAAAAGAGAAAACCACGAGGACACTATAGCTAAAATGCCGACTATAAAAGTAAAATAAAGTTAACATTACTGTTGTAAGTAGAGTGCCTTTAAAGAGGAGAGGAGGGCTAGCTGAATGCTTTTTTTTTCCGCCACTCAGTACTTTGGCGGTACCTTTGGTAAATTAGTTTCCAGGAAAAGGGCAATTGGGGGGTGGAGGCGCGGTTAGTCGTTCCCACACGATTTCACGAAAATGAACTAAAGATCAATCATGATGAAAAGACGAAAATCGTTTTCTACGCTTCACCCTAAGGGATCATTCCCGGGCTACCGTAACTTTATCAAGAGGACGATGATATAATGTTTAAAAAGAACCCGGGAATTGTAAAAGGGATCTTTTATATTTTTAACTATTAACCTTTCATTCATTTGATCGAAAACAGATTTTGAGGTTGTACCTTACTGCGATAACCTTCCCACAGAATTGTAAACACATCGAAAAGAGAAAAAAAAGCTGTAAAGTAAATAGTTAGAAAACAGATTTCCTTTTAAGGAGCTCAAAAAATTGTATTACGCTGTAGCAAGATTTTTTTAAAGTTAATTTTACCTGCGGGGGTTCGTAAATGGCAGCCACTGAAGCTCGTATTCCTAGGGGTACGTCCTTGTGGTGCTCATAACGGCCATACAGGAATCCCAGCCTCTGAAAACAAATCATGGCAAAATGTTGTAAGAAGCAAACTTCGGGAATGTTCAGTGTTTCATAACAGAAACAATTTTGGAAGTAGAGACTTTCGTTATCCTTGCTCCTGCTACCCCTTCACTATTACTCTTGACAAATCTATCTATGGGTACGGCGCACCTCTGTTTTCCACACAGGACAGTTACATTTCCCTTTGTCCCACGGTCGCGAGAATCTAAAATTTGTGATTAACATGTTTTGTTTTGGGATTTCCAAATTATTTCTCGTTTGAATCATGGAGTCAAGGGGCAATAACTTGAAGAGAAATCAGTGAAAAGGAGAAAAAACTTCCCATCGGAATGGGAGTGGAGATTAAGGACTGCACCAAAATCGGTCGCTCCACCTTCCTCACCCAAACCGAAAGCAGTTTTGCCCTCTTTACAAATTTGCAACATTAAGATTTCAAACAAACAAACACTTTGTTTACCTGGGATAAAATACATTTTTACCGGTTACCCTGTAGTTTGCATAATGGCCCCCAACAAATCCTACTAAATATAAAAATACCTAAAAAATTCATAATACTAAAATTGTACTTAAAATGTCCCACTGATCTTAAAATGCTCTATCGAGGTATTTTCTTTAATAAAGTTTTTCAGTAACGTTATCTTAAAATTTGAGTGGGAAGTTATGTTTCTAAATGAGTGACTAGTTTATTCCACAGCCTACATGCACTTGAGTGGAAAGTTCTAAGCCCTGAGTTTGATTTACAAGATGGTGTTAGAACATCATTGCAGATAGCAGATCTAGTACAATAACCATGTGTAGATCTGACATATTTAAAATATGAACTAAAATATTCAGGACAATGACCTTGGCTAACTTTATGTAGCATACAAAGTTTTCTATGTTTTTCTGAGTTTGAAGACATTGTTCACCTGATTTCCAGTCTTTCTCCAGTAGTTCAAAAATGGTTCTACAATAAAGGGATTTTCAAAAAGGATGTTGTCCACGTGTCTATAAACCTGAAAAAAAGGAGAGAATAAATTTCCTTACAAATTGCTACATAGGTGCTTCAAAAGCCCAGAGAAAGTCGAAAATTTGTTGGCAGGAAAAATCAATGAAACTGGGGCACTCATCTGATGAGAGTGACTCTTGATAGAAGGCATAGAGTGGAAGATGGATAATTAGCTGCCCTGGATGCTCTGACTGTGTAAATATGGCACTTCCAAATATAATTACTGCTCTGTCCACCGAATACTTTACAAGAGCTTATATGGTGATTGTCTTACTGAATGAAAGGACTTTGGGATTTCCCATTTATTCTGGCAAACTGTCCCTGAGGAGATTCCTTTTTTCTTGTTTACAAAGCATTACAGACCACATAGGAGGTTAACACCACGGGTTAGTGACCTGGATCATTTGTGGGACATTTTACTTTATGAACACACTTGAATTGTCTATTGCTGCTGGCAAAAAGTATTTGCCACTTATGGACAATGTATAGTAACGTATGATGCACGATCCTTGCAGTAGAGAGCACTATTTATGCAATAGCGAAAATCAGACCTGAAAAAAATCAGGCCTGTACGGGATTCGAACCACTGACCACTGCGATACTAGTGCAGCGCTCTACCAATTGAGCTAACAAGCCAACTGGGAACAGGCCGTTAAGTTGATTCATAATAAACCCGTGATGATAAATCAGATACAATGTATATATGAAGTTCATATATTTTGAACTGTGGTATTAGATACGTACGATGCACGATCCTCGCAGTAGAGAGCGCTATTTATGCAATAGTGAAAATCAGACCTGAAAAAAATCAGGCCTGTACAGGATTTGAACCACTGACCTCTGCGATACTAGTGCAGCGCTCTACCAATTGAGCTAACAAGCCAACTGGGAACAGGCCGTTAAGTTGATTTTTTTCAGGTCTGATTTTCGCTGTTGCATAAATAGCGCTCTCTACTGCGAGGATTGTGTATCATACTTATCTAATACCGCAGTTCAAAATATATGAACTTCATATATACATTGCAAATGTATAGTAAATAATGAACAGAGTAAATTTCAAAGTTATTAAGCTCCTAGATTTTTGTCAAGCAGACCTCATGTTAAGAACTCCACTCATGCAGGTACCAATTAGGAGAGCTCTCCCTGTACTCTGGCAATCACACTCACTTGTCTCTTCAGTGTAATAGCACTAGGCTGACACTTTGTACAAATTCCACCAGGCCAAGGTGGATGCTCTGTACACCCTGGTTTAATCCTGCAGCTGATATCCTCCAGTACTGTAAACTTGCCTCTGAAATACAGAACATCTCTTCTCATAAACAGAAAAGAAGCATAGCATCAAAAGCATATGACTGAGATGTACAGAGACAGCCCAATGTCATGACCTCCCTCTGCCCACATGCTTCAAGTTTAGTTGTTTTAGAGCTTACCTGTCTGTACCTCCACCCATTTTCTTGAGGAATGCATGGAAAGACATGTGCTTGATTGGAGGTTTGTGGTTCTTTAAGTACTCTTCATCATATGGCTAAAACAAATATAATTATATATGGCATGGCTTAGACGATACCACAAAGGTTGGGTTGTTTGGGGTGACTGTCTCGGTTCTCCCCCATCCTAGCATCAGCACTGCACTGATGAGGCCCAGAAGGCTGAAACAGTACTGTCTGCAGTTAATTATATATATATATAAAAAGAGTAACAACAAGGCTGTGATGTTATTGTGTATAATGGAGTGATGAGAACTATTCATACATGTACAAGTTGCTCGCTTGGGCCTAAATCATTCTAATTGTAAATCAGAATTTGTTTACATCTTCACCTTTAAAAAAAATATAAATTCAATAATATTTCAAGCATGCTTTGAGGCTAATGCAACTATCTGTAATACTCAGTGCTCAGACGAGTGACATTTTTCGTAGCTTTATTCTAGCTTACAGGAATGATTAAGCTTCAAGTTGCTCTACCTAAGTCGAAGATTGTAAAAAAACCCATCCAAGTTCCACATTGAGGGGGAAACTCAATTTGAATAAAAGGCTTCAAATACTTGTGGCTTTTTTCTTGGACTGATGCCGGTAAGATTACTGGTAAGTGGCAGTGACTTATTTCCTAATTAGATTGTTTCAGCCTGCATATATGCAGATATAAATATTGTTCTCCAGTAAAAACAGAAAGATGTATATATAATCATGACATTATTCTTACCTCTAGAGGTACACAATGGATGCATTTGCTGTTGGGGTTGTGATGACATCTGATCAAAGTAGAAAAGGGAGATGGTAACATATATTTATCCCTTGTATCTAGGGATCCAACTTAACTTCTTTCACTTAACAGTCACATCAAATACATGTAAATAATACATTTGGCAATGGGTGCTCAGCAAAACCACACAATACCTATTTGAACCCAGTTTTTAGCTTACAAGTCCTAAATAATGAAGTAAATCTTACTGTGTAACCCTGCGTGGCTTCTAACTTGCACATGTAGGGTAGCGAAACTTTGCCATGGATAAAACAAAGGTAACATACAATCGTATTGTCATAACACGGCTGTTAAACTTTCAGATTATTCTACATGCAAATATATGGGCACAGAAGCTGAATCATTGCAAGTTTGTATCATTTGGCAAGTTCATGTATCAATGACATGTTTGTATAATGGATTCCGATGTTTCTTTCCATCATTAAGGTCATAGTGCTGCAAACCATTGTTTCTTCATAATCTTGGAAAGGACTCTTTCTCATTTTCTCAATTTCATCGTGTTTCTGGGGCTATCAATGCTATGCACTTACAGCTGTGGGTCTCGACCTCTGTGAATCAGACCATCTTGCTTGGAAAGAAGAACATCAATTTCGTCCTCTTTGATGCTATTGAATGATGCAGGGGTTGCTGAGTTTGCAGTAGATGTTGAAGGGATGGAATTTATTCCTGACATATCATTATCCACTGGTGGAGCTTCACGAGACAAGAAAAGCATATCTCCATGCCTGAAATAAAGAAAGAAAAATGCCACACATTGATTAACTAGACAACAATTGAGCGTAAACTTTCTTCATATGATTTGGAGCATAATGTTATCTGTTTGTGGTATCCAAGTAATTCATCTCCTGTACTTTGAAAGTATGCACATGACTTCTTCATTAAAAGCTCCAGACATAAGCAATTTCTAAGACTTCAGATCACAAACCTGCATCAAAATTCTCACCAGAAAAAAAGTGGCTTTTGAAGCTTAGGCATGCCAGTAGGGGGTTTGAGTGGTTGCAATTTGACAGCTCCAGTATGAGCTTCTAGAGCTTTATGCTCAACTTGCCATCAGCACCAGTCTGTTTGGTTTGTTTGACCCTTTCACTCCTGAGATCTCATTATTGTTCTCCCTGCTGTCTGTCATATAATTCTTATGTGTTTACTTTGGAGAATTTGGTATCTAATCAATTAATAATTCCCTAGTTGATATTTTTCTTTATTCTCATTACCTGTCTTCTTGATTTTGTATTGGAATTGTCATGAGAAATTCTGTCTTGGTCACCCCAAATGAGTGAAAGGGTGAAAGTCTAATATTCAAACAATTGAGTGTAAACAATCATTAAGAATGTTTGTATTTGTTTTTTTTTTTTAAGTGATGACTCTGAAAACTACCATTCAGAAAGTGATTAGCTTAAATTACCAAATTTAGTCACATTGACCCATTAGACCCCAACATCAACTTGAATATTCTCCATACCAGGGTTGTGGTCAAGCAGCCCTTGGTGGCCCATGGTGCCTTACTTTTGCTCTTGGGTGACTCAGGAATCTTCATTTTTTTTTTTTTTTTTTTTATAAAAAGTATATGCTGGGCACCCTGGATTTCATAGTTTCAGAGTGCTAGGCTCCCTTCAATTTTTTTAGAGCACAGTCTTGCACATTGTTCACAATACATTTCCTGAGGGCACTGATGAGAAGAATTTCACTAACAATCAAGAGCTTCTTTAGTTGGTGATCATTTCCTTTATTCTCATAACCTTTAAGTTTGATTCAGGGGTGATATTGTTGGGAGAAGTTAGATGCTAATCACTCTTAATGCATATTGTTAAAGGGTTAATCTGTCTTTTAAGTACAATACGATTATTCTTGATTGGTTGAAAGATGTTCTGTCACACAATTTTAATCTCTAATCACCTTCAATCAAATACTAGTGTTATTTAGGACTGACATACTTAATTCCAAGTGAAGCTAAAGTCTTTCTCGTAGAATTCTTTATCTCTCCTGTTTTGTTTCTTCTAAGAAATAATGTCCATCCTCTTCTCGGAAGAGAAAGCTCGTCTACAATCTAAAATATAAAAAAAAAATTAACAAGTATTTATTAACAAGTATTGGAATGATATAAACCTCCCTTCTTACCACAATTAACTTTTTCGACCTCATATCTAATCAAAATAAAACTATCATTAATTTTAGAAATGTTGTTTGAATGTACAAACAAATTCTGAGAAACAACTATCAAACAAGTCTCTAGCAGGGAGAGCAGATTTTCTGATCTTGGAAGGGAAAGAATTAAAATGTACTGAATCGCAACAACTGCCGAACAAAATAAAAGAAAGTGCTTCTGTCAGCAAAAGGACAAGGAAATATCCTATACAAAGTACATATCATGTAAAATGTGACTAATGGTACGTCATGATGATCAACCCCCATGAAATTGAAAGATCGATCGACAAGATACTGAAACTGTTAAATAACGTTTCACGGAAGATTTCCAAGATTAGTATTTAAATAATTCAAATAAGAATCATTAGATCAGTAACTTTTTTTAAAGTTTTAATTCATTCAAACTTGGTTTTTTAACCATACCGGCCGGCTTAATACAAATAAATTTTTCTAAAACGATATATAATTATAATCTCAGAAAGGATGACTGAGTTTATATCATGTTTAAAAAAGGCATAGAAATCCAGACTTCAGGTACTTGGACCAATATGACGAGCTCTCACGAGGCCATTCTCAAATTTCGTGCTTAATAAATCTTACCTTGGTTAGAAATGACGAGACAGTTTCAGTTTGTGAACATTTTATCCTTGAAGTCCCTTCGCAGGACTGCACGCGTACAATCTAAAGAAAACGAAATAGAGCGATGGCTTAATATTTCCTACCCTTAAATTAGGGAAATCCCTGACATCAGAATGACCAGTTACTTACAATTTGAGCCATGCTGTTATCTCGAGGAAGTGGGTTTACTTTTTAAATTCTCACATAATGATACTATCCCTCGCCATGGCGTAAATTGTAACCGAGTGATGTAATGGAACGCGAGAGGCTGGGTAATAGAATTGGGGGGACTGGGGTAGGATACTGCCTCTGAAACCGCCATTTTTCAAAAGTTGTGATACATAGTGAATCATGGCTGAGTTGACTTACGATTTTAACATGAATAGATTCAAAAATCGACTAGATACCTTCAAAGATTGGCCTTTTACGGAAGAAACGGGATCTTGTTGCACTGCAGTGAAGGTAAAGGGTGACAGAAAACAAAATTTGACTTCAGTAAACTTATATATGACTTCGATTGGTTTCTTCTATATCTCTCAGATGGCTGAAGCAGGCTTCTTCCACAGCGCGAATGATTCTGCTGATGTTGCACGTTGCTTTGTTTGTCTCAAAGAACTCGAAGGGTGGGAACCTGAGGACAATCCATTGTACGTAAGCTTGACTTTAACTTCGTTTGATTGTTCGTGATTGGCTAAATGACGAGGTTAATAAATTGCCCTTGCGAGTTTTAATTTTGCAAAAGGAGTCGAAAGGATAATTGTTGGGTCGTTTATAGACCAAAAGTGTACAGTGTCTTAAAAGTTATTATTTCAGTTGAGGTATTAAAAATTTTGAACGCATTTCACATGATAAGCTTAGTTAATCAGTATTTCGATTACTTTTTCTCATTGTTTAATAATGATTAGAATTATTTCACGGCAAAAGTTAAGATTTCTTTCTGTATATTAGTTCCCTTATTGAAAAATATTGATTAAACTTCTCTTTTCCAGTGAGGAACACAGAAAGCATTCTCCAAAATGTGAATTTTTGTTGTTGAACAAAAAAGAGGAAGACTGGACAGTGCAAGAATTTTTAGAATTGGAAACAAAAAGGCAAATCAGCAGGATGGTAATTATTTGACAAAAATTTTTCATCCTAACCCATTTTTCTCACTTAATTTGCCATTTGTTGATGCACATATGTAAGAACTCTAAATATGTGGAGGCCTGTTCCTTCAATTGTACGTTTACAATTCCTATGTTCCTCCTATTGTATGTGTACAATAGAAATAACTTTTAAGCTTCATTCTTCCTCTTTAACTTTACAGCAAAAGATCATTGAACTCAAGACAAAAGAATACTTGGAACTGGCTGAACATGTCCAGAGTGAAATGGAAAAGCTTGTCTAGTCTTAATGATGTATACCTGACTGTTAAGTTTCACTGTGAATTGATAGAGTGCATTTCAGAGGCTACCTTTACAGATGATCTTCTGCTTCACTACAAAATCCTTCCCTTGTCATGAATGACCCGCTACATTGAGGGCACATTGAATTGTCTGCTTAGTAATTGCTGGTTTGAAGAGACTTTCCATAGCCTTTTGGAAGGGTGGTGTGACAATTCAAGAGAATCTTTTTGTTAAGATCTAAAATTATTGTATTTGATAAGCAAGAAATCATTACACTGCCTTCTATTCTCCAAATATTGTTCATAATTTTAAGCCACAATAACACACACAAGGCCAGTTTTCACATTATTCATTTTCTTACTCCCTCATCTTTTTAGTCTTTTTTAAAATGACTAACTTTCAGAGTGTTGGTCAGTAGAGTTACTTGTCTTTGTACTTTGCTAATTTGGTTTAGCTTAAACAATTTCTTAAGGTTGTTGGCCTGGGGAAATTAACTTTTCCACTCATCAAAACTGCTTTCCCATGATTCATATGTAATATAGTTTTCCATGTAATGTAGTATGTCTACTATTAAAGAAGATAAAATTGACTGAAAAGGTGTGAATATTAATATCAACCTTCAACTTTGTCCAACCTCAATGAGAGATGTTCCCCCAGCCCTGTATCGCTCTGACGAAGGGCTTACGCTCAAAACGTCAGCTTTTATAATAGTAACGGTGGCCAATTTACCATTTCAACTTTGTTGATATATTCAAATTATTCTGTATCCACATAGCTTTACCTTTATCTCAATCATATTGTCACAGTGTTTACAACCCTAATAAAATATAGTTCAGGCTGCCTAAAGAGAGGGACAAACATCAGACCTTTGGGTCCACTTTCAAATATTCCCTGAAAAACATTACTTAGTTCATAACCGAGCAGGAGGTCTGTATGGGAGAATCTTGACCGATGTCGCCAGTACAGATCGAACGCAGTGAGGTCTGTACCAGCGACTGAGGTCAAGATTCTCCCTTACAGACTGACCTAGCTCAGTTAATAAGATGTTTATTATATGGCTGTGTCTTATGTGCCAATTTTTTTATATTCTTTGTACCTTTCGTTCTAGATGCCGGTCTAGATGGGAAAATCTAGACCGCTTTCAATATTGATTTCTGCCAATCAAATTCGTGAATTCGGTAGTTCCCAGTCCTTGTGAGACACAGCCATATAATAACTTCTCATAAACTGCAGGGAATCGACCATAAAATTTTTAGTTTAGCTCATTCCCGGAGGTTTAAATTCATGTTGGATCTTTCGTGAGGAAGTTTATCATAGAAATATTACAGGCGACGTATCAAACGGGTAGGAAATAAAGGCGGAGGAGTGGGGAAGACACAGCTGGCAAGTGTGCAAAGCATACTCCGAATTCAGCCAGAAGGAGGGAGGTCATCTCGGGTGCCAGATATTACTCGCATAGCCCTCTGGGATAGTCCATCATGATATATCCCAGATTCCTTTGAGATCGGTATGGAAGATGGCGCAGATATGGCCGAATGTGCCGTTTGGGTCGGTGGACTACCTGTGAATGTGAACGAAATTATACTGTATGACTTATTTCACAAATTTGGCCCTTTAAAAAATACAGTGATACTAAGGGATGTTTATGGTAGGTCTAAACAGTGTGGTTTCGTCAATTTCTTATCGCAAGAGGCCGCCGAACTTGCAGCCAGAAAAATGAACGGATGTGAGATTTTAGGTCAGACGGTGAAAACGAAAGGACCCAGGGAACTTTTAGCGACAAGAAGATGTACAGATACTGTGCCAGATGAAGCTGTAAATTTAGATAGGAAGGACTTCAGAGGTCTGACCGACTGCGTATTTTTCATGGAAGGCCGCCAGTGTTCTCCGAAATCAGGAGAGGTAAGGTTGAGCTTTTAACTTTACCGCTAATTCTTCCGGTAAACATAATCTGAGCCCAATTACGCAAATGTCAAATCAAAAGAATTCTTTTTTTTTTTTTTTCACATTCACCCCTTGATTTTTATTTCGTACGCGTATTAATTGTCGATGATGTTATTGGATACTTTAAATTTCCATGTTCTCTTATTATTATGAAACCCTTTTTTTGCTATGCAGTGTCCCTTCCGTCATTGTGTTGCAGCCCGGAAAACTAGCGATTTGTGCGACAAGTGGATAAAAAAACAATGTACAGAAGTGTTTTGCTCGAAGCGACATCCTAAACTTATCAAAAATCGATCAGGTAGGATGGAGAGGTCGTATTCTACCTTTTGTACCGGTTGATATCGATAGCACGAGGTACGGTAATTATATCATCATTTATATTATGTAACACAACAGAGTCACACAACCAGTGTGAATTGAAAAAAAAAAACGAATTTGGGGAAAGTGTTTGCAATCGTAGTTTTCAAATGAAAATAATCAGAGGTCTGCTGATAATGTTTCCTGTAGGAACCTTGAAATTTTTCTTTATCATAGAAATGCAAAAAAAAAAAAAAACTTGGAGTGAAAGTATTATTCTCTAATGACAGAGGCTCTCCTTTTAAGCCAAGCAGTTTAATTAGGATTTGTTATAAGTCCATCTAGTCTCCTTGTAATAGTTAATGTTTGACAAACATATTGAGCCTCTTACTGGCTGATTGATGGATTCACAATAGCCGCTATTTTTTTAACAGATCATCTATTTAAAGTAGTACCAACCCGCTGTCCCTCCCATAATGCATTCAAATGTACTGGTGAATGTGGCTTTGATGACTGTAGCACTCACTTCATGGAACAAGATGCATTGCAAGAACATGTCAACAGAGGACGTGAGAAAAAGTTCACGTTGATGTCATCTTGTTCCCAGGTACTGCATTGATTGAGTTATCATAACCAACCATAGCCAGTTGCTGTCAGTCATTTTAAGGACTTTTCAAGAACTAAATGTAATATTTATAGAGGAATCTGCTTTATATGTTTCTTTCTTAAGGTGTCTGCTCTGATTGGTGCATACATGGAGAGTTTTTGACTGGAATCTTAATTCCGTTTGTTTGTTATATTTTGTTTCAGTGCAAGGCCATTTTCTTTAGTGAAGAAGAAAGGCAACAGCATTCCTGCCTAAATTCCACGACAGAACCCTTACCTGGACGTTGTCCATATAGATATCCTTCCTCCAATTTGAATTTTAATCAGTCTTCAAGTTTTCAATTCAAGAGGAACAGCCCAGTAATGTTTACAAATGCTTCGCCACAGAATCTCATCAAACCTCAACAGTTGCATAAGAATCCTAGCGCATCCATACCAAGTGGTCAGGTAACTTGTGGGAAAAAATTATGTGACTGTTCGAAGAATTGTGGAACTGTTGGGTTAACCAACAAAGTTAAAGAGACATTTTGTGTTTGCTCCTCTTGTGGGATAAGCTATGAAAACTCTGGGGATTCCTTGAGTGATTTTGACTTGTCTGTTGATTCAGCTGGTATTGGTGGCCACAAATGTCCCAATTCACCATCTGTTCGAGGACTCATCAGTGATGCAGATGGTGAGTGAAATTTATTCAATTCCATCTGTTTTCCTGTCTAACTGTGATTTTTCGTGTTCATATTTATAAGTATTTGATGGTTGAATCCAAGTCACAAATGACCTCTTGTGCAAAACTCTTACGATGAGTGATGAATAATAACTTGTTAATAATCTTTTTATTATATAGTTAGTTGTAATTTACAGTGAATGGCTAGTTTTAAATTGTCACTGCATTTTTTAAGGTCTCACACAGTATTTTAAGTATACATTGCATGGGGGTTGATCACTATGAACAAGTTTTATCCTAGAAGAGCTACATCACACACACAATCAGTCGCAAAAGTCTTAGGATGCTTTACTTTTCCTCCTCAGCCTTTGGCTTTGGAGGATAACACAAACTTTGGCCTTCAGAATTGTTGCTATCATGCAATAACCAAATCAAATAATTGTTAACTGTTGGATGAATCCTTTGTAAGCATGGGTCAGAATACTGTTTAGCAGAACGGTATTGATACCCTCCAAAGGAATAACCACATGCTGCTTAGCACAAAAGTATGGAGAAACCAGGTTTTCTGTTTCTAAATTTTATCAGTTCTATTTCTGTAAACAAACAATGTATAAAGCAGGCAATGGTTCTTTTTTCACACCATTTCAGTGGGATTGCATCAATTTCCAGGTCAAAAAATGTGTTTTAATCTTGATACAACACATCTGTTCTACATTGTAGTTTTGACATCCAAGAGCTCTGTAACTGGCTCTCCTAGTCAAGCCTCAACAATTCCAGAAGCTGAGCCAATTGGAGTTTTCTGGGATATTGAAAATTGCCCAGTTCCACGTGGGAAATCAGCATCTGCTGTTGTTCAGAAAATAAGGAGGGAGTTTTTCACTGGAAAGCGTGAGGTTGAGTTCATGTGCGTTTGTGATATCAGTAAGGAAAAGAAGGAAATTATTGAAGAACTTAACAAGGCTCAGGTAAGACTTTTCAGTTCTTGAAATTTTTAATTTTTGTAGCAATTTCTCTATTCAACAGAATTATCATCTCAATCTGTAACAACAGCAAGATCCTATCCTGTTTTGCTATAGGGTTTGGCAGTGCTGATTTGAAAATTGGGCAAGATTATTCTTGCTAAGTAGATGACTGTGATTACAATCCTCACTTTTTGTTGGGATGTATTCAACCAGGAGACCTACTTTAAAAAATTGTGTGTTAGTTGATGGATTACATTTACAAACAATGTCAAGACTACTGCAGTAAGGATTATGTGTAATGAGGTGTGCATCATGCATGTACATGTATTTTGTTTCATCAGTAGAGAACTGTTGCACATATTCATCTACTGACCTGAAATTAGAGTAAAGTTATTGTCTTTCTAAAACTTTCAACCTTTTTTTATGACCTTTTTTACATTTAGGTAACTGTAGTTCATATCAATGCCACTTCAAAGAATGCAGCTGATGACAAGTTAAGGCAAAGCTTGCGAAGATTCGCACAATCATACCTTCCCCCTGCTACTGTTATTTTGGTGTCTGGGGACATTAATTTTGCTGCAGAGCTGTCAGATCTACGTCATCGGCACAACTTCCAGGTGATATGTCTTCACAATGCCCAAGCCCAGGATGCTTTGCTGGCATGTGCTCATGAGACAAAAAGATTTGATCGCTTTACTGCTGATCTTCCTGTTGTATTCACTCCAAAGGTAAACAAAGTTGTTATTTTTCGCTTTTGATATCGGATAACCCAATATATTGTGACAGTACTTTGAGTTTTAGAATCATCTGGAAATGTAAATAAATTATACGTAGTGCAACATATCAATGAGGGAGATACATATAGCTTATTCGACGTTTTGTTGTGTAGTATCGCTGAGTATTTTTGAGTTGTGCCGTATTTTGACGAGCCCGTAGGGTGAGTCAAAATACAAATAAAGAGTAGAAATACTCAGCGATACTACACAACAAAACGTCTGATAAGTTATTTATTATCCAACACGCCAAACTGTTATTTCAGTGTGGGCAAATTTTGCGGATATTTATTTACGGGGAGTGCGTGACAGAAGTACGCGAAGCGGAACGGAATTGATGCATTGTTGTGTTGCTGTTTCTATTTTCTTCATTAAATGAAGAAATTTTCTGGTCGTCAAGCTGTTTTTCTTCGTTCGATTCATCTAATGAACTTGGATCTAAATTTGCCAGGCATTCTGACTCTTCATCGTCGGAAATATGATTCAAATTGTCCTCCATTTGATTTTTTTTTTTTTGCGTAACTACAATCCAATTCTTCGCTTGCACGATGCGAGAAAACCTGTTTAACTGGTACTCTACAATAGACGAGTACAAATACCGCGTGATATTTGTACTCGTCTATGGCATTTTTTGTACTCGTCTAGGTGTAGCTGGATAATAATGTGGCTTATTGTTAGGTATGCTGGACTTCAAGTTGAGATGTCCATGTTTGAGATGTGGCAAGGTCAATGTGATCTGTTCCTGGGTACAAGGCTTAACTTTTTACAGTACCCCTACCCAGTGGTATAAATGGTTACTGGCCCCAGGGAATTGTCAGGGAAGCCTGATGAAATGCTAGTGGGTATTCTTGTAATGGACTAGCTTGCCATCCGGGTTGGGGAGGGGTGGGGGGCAGTGATACAGACTTAGCCTTTTTATTACCTATCCTACTGTGGCTCAATGTTGAGTGGATCTTCAACCCCTCAAACACTATGTAAAAGGCAACCAAAAACAGTTAGAGATATGTGTACCAATGGGAGACTTGAGTTCAGTTCAGCTACTGGTACTAGGAAATGACTGAAAGGGAAATGACTTCAAGTGAAGATTGCTACATTGTAGCACATTTGTGAATAACTTGTACATTGCTTGAAGTTTTTTGATATTTTTTTAGGCTCCTGAGGAGAATGGCTTATCCTCAGAGCTTCTTGTCCTCAATCTTCCAATGGGAAAAGATGTTGCTCAAGTCAGAAACAGACTGAAAAAACTTTCTGATAACTGTGGAGGGAAAGTTGTGAGCATCTCTGGGCATACGTCAATTCTTAGGTTTCCAAACCCTGTTAGTGCTGCAAGGTGAGGAATTATATCTTAATGTGGTTTTATTGGTTAAAATAATTATAAATTGCAAAATAAATCATGTTGATTTATGTGGTGTTAAAGCTAGTTTAGGTCTGGATAGCAAAGATACCTAGTTTTGTCATTTAGTATACCCAAGATCCCTACTACTGTATGTCATTATTCCAGTTTTTCAAATTCTGAGGACTAAGATTTCCATGAGGAAATTGTCTTATAGTTCAATGTCATCGCCGACATGTATCGGCATCATAGTTATTGACAGTGATAATTAATTTTTTTCTCTCAGGGCGAGACGAAGAATGGATAAAGAAGACGTGTTCGGTTCCACAATCCAAGTGTTGTATTCCACAAGCAGTCATCATTCACAAAGCCCACCGAAAAATAAGAAAACACGGCCAGTGGAGAATGCTGGTGATTCTGTCAAGAGCAGAGATACTTGTATGTCTCCAAAATCTACAGCCAGCACCCCACAGAAAGGAAAACAAGATTCTAGTTGTGCATTGCTAGATACTTTAAATATTGAAGACACAATCCCAGCCACGAATACTCTGAAGAAAGAGGGCAAAACCAGCCAAACACCAACAGATGAAAGTCCCGACTCAGGGGACAGCACAGAAGAAAATGATGGCAAACCAGGACCCTCCCTTTTGTCTTCCACTGCCCAACAGTTTGTTAGCCATCAAACTATGTTCAGTAATGGCTCCTACACTGGCATATGGCCACACTCTATTTACCCAAACTTCATGAATATTCCAACACAAGGAGCAAGTTTTCCAGGAATCACTCCTCTTGCCCCACCCATGATGGGTGCACCACACCTTACAGCATCATGGCTAGCCAGCTTGCATAACTTTACAGTGTTAGACCAGCAGCGGGGGGGAGTTGACTTACTTGTCACTAATTTGGATGAAAATGTTAGCAAGAAAGAACTGAAAAAGAAATTGGCATCTGTGTTTAGAGAGCACTGTAAGGTGAGACAGTTTGCTTCATTAAGATTTTTTTGTGTGCCTGTACATTTATTAAAACTGTTTATGGATATGGCAACATATTACTTATAATGTTGGGAAGTGACTATGCTTGTAGCTTTTCAACTTGTTTGTGAGGTTTATCAAACAAACTGTTTAATCTTCGTACATCATTAGCCTTTCGTGTGTTGCAGATTTACAACAGTCTTTTTTTCTGATTGCAGGTATTGTCTGTTATTCTTCATAGTGGAGAAGGCATACCTTTGAGAGCTTTTGTTAAAGTTCCAAAACTGTCTGACGCCCGCCTGGCCATCTGCAAAGTTCACCAGAAGAAAATCTTTAACACCTGTGTGACGGTCAACATAGCCACAGACAAAGAGAAAGAACTCTGCTTCTTACGCTGTGAAGTAACTTCTATACTGAAAGAGGCTCCTTTACATTTCTTACCACTAAACAAGTTCCTGAGTGAGTTCTACGAGAAGTGTTCTCGAGCGTTTGATATGACCTCCATCGGACTTATCCACGATCTGGTTGTTCTGACTGGCAAACCTGGTAATCAAGCGATAAGTCTGCTAACTCGAGCCATTGGCGGCGTAAGAGTGTCTGTGGAGCCTGACCAGTTTGCAAAAGATGTCCACACTCTTCTAAAATCTTGTAAAGGATCTTTGCCATTGGTTAGCTTTGCTGCATCCTACTGGCTAAACTTTGATAAGAAGATAGAGTCTAACGACCAAGGGTCTGCTCTTTTGGAAGTTCTCAACTGCGTTCCAAATGTCAAGGTCTCAGAGTCTTTGATGGTGTCATGGGCTAAGCAAGCTCTTAAACATGGTAAGGAATTATTTTGTGTGTTTGGTTTGGTTTGGTTTGTTTTCTTTTGTGTGTGTGTGTGTGTTTGAGCACGTGTTTTGTTTTTTCTTTTCTGAATTTTTTGAAAGTTGTTTTCATGTGCAAATAAAGTTCTCTGACTTAAATGGTAGGGTATTTTTTTTTTCATGGTCTGGATTTGCAAAGCATGTTTATGCATACGTGTGTAGGTATTTTCAAATACGTCACATCTGTTGTATTGGTTTTTTTTTTTTAACTCTAGACCTAGTTCGTTCAACTCAAAAAAGTCGCCCAAATTTAATTTTTTTGCATCATCTACTTACATTTTTCAGACTGAGTTAGAGATTTCTCGCAGTTTCTCAAATGCACTTACATGTACGACATAAACTGCTGTAGCATCCAGCAGCTTGATGATTTTTTTTTCCCACCAACAGGTGGGAATGTAAGCAAGCTTCTTGAATTCAGTAAAGATCTTCAGGAGTTATTACAGATGCAGGAGGAATTTAAACTTCCCCTCAGTTCACTAATCTCCGAGTATCAATTGTGGTTTGAAAAGAAGACGCCATTCGATCCAGCTGTCTATGGATTCACTTCGGTTGTTACCCTCCTGGAAGCTTTGCCAGCTGTAGCAGAGGTCAGTGAATTAGTGCTGTACATTAATCTTTTAACCCCCTAGCATCTTATTTCTCTTTACAGTGTCACCCCAAAATCACACATTAAGCTCATTAGAATAAAGAAAATGATCACCAACTAAAGAAGCTCTTGATTGTGAAACAGATTCTCCTTGTCATCACATTGGAAATTGTGTAGAGGACAGTATGGAGAATATGCATACTCATATTTAGGTGCGAGACTGGTGAAAATAATACTGGGGAGGAAATAAGTTATTTGTCCTGTCATGAGCGTGAAACAAAGCAGAAATCTGAATTCCGCACGGGAAGTCGAACTTAGACCTTGCTTAGGATTTGAGGCTCCAGTGGTTTACCTTGATTACTATTCTGCAAGAGTTGCTTTTCAAACCCTCTCTGCCTCCTGAGTCCCTTTCTATGAAATCTTTAAAGTAACACGAGCAAATGAAAGAAACTATCGAACCATTTTTTTACGCGCTGTAGGTTACGCAACAAGGCAAAGAAAGATGGCTAGTCCTTTCACAACGCTTGAAAATCAAAGTCTTCGCGAAAAATGTCAAAATGCTCTTGGCAAGTCAACCAGATCACGCAATTGCTTTGGGAAACTTTGTGTCAACCTACATGAAGTACCTCGGCCAGAAATGCAAGATTGCAACATTTGGGTTCTCCAAGCTGACAGACTTGATTGAAGCTGTGCCCGACATCGCTAAGGTTTGTAGGCAGCTTGTACCAACTTTTCGATACTCACAATCGTGTGTGAGTTTTGATATCACTTGCTTGGAGGGAGTAACGATTGGCGATACTTACTATTGAACAGATTGATCCTGTGTTGTAGTGCATTTGTTCACTAATTTTTTTTTTTTGTTTGTTTCTTTTTTTGGAATTGTCTTGACTTTATTTAGGGTCACTTTATTTAGGGTCAGCAAAATTTTGTTCACTAATAGATACATTTAACTTATGATGTCGATTTGTGATTGTGATTGTGGGTGCGCCTTCTACGTTCTTAGCACATTTTGAAGTCTGGATCTAGAAAGTTTCGGGATAACAGGCCTAATAAAGTAAACACGTAATTTTTTTTTAACTTTGTCTATTTGTATTTAGATCCAAGGAACTGGAGATCAGCGGTTGATTTGTTTGGTGGAGAAAGGTATCTATTTTTCCTTTCGACTGCATGTCCTTCCCCAGCTTGTTTCGTTTATTACCAAGAGTTTTATAAATATTGATTTTAGCCTTAGAACTATTTAGAGAGCTTCACTTTTAAGATTTCATTACCTTGCACTAACATAAACCTCAACAAACCTTTACATTTTCCTTACTCTGAGTTTAAATTTATTAAAACTCGTCATCACAACAATATTTTTCTTCACACCGAGTTTGTGCTTTGTTTCACTTCATTTGTTAATTCCATTTTACAGACAAGAGCTCCAGGCCTGAGAAGCAAAGTGAAAAGCAGGCTTTAGTCAAAGAACTCAAAGAGCTATTGTCCAGCTGTGAAAACCAGAGGCTTCCTGTTGCCACAGTACTTGCTCGATACTATCAACATTTTGGTCGACTGCTCAAGATTGGGGATCATGGTGCCCAGCGTCTTGAAGACCTGGTGGAAAGTTTACCATCACTACAGGTCAGTTGTTCAAACTTATTTAATTACTGTTGGTTTGATTCTCTGGGCCTAAAGTTAAATTAACTTTCTCTCTGGTCCCTCTTAGATCATAGAGATATCAGGGGAAAAATACCTGACCTTCCCTTCCAAAGTCACAGTGCAGTCTTTGCGAAAAGACCTGGTAGAGCTACTGGAACAACAGGACGGCAAATTTCTGCCAATTTCTCGCCTTGTTTGCACTTTCCGTAAACACTACAACCGGAAATTTCCCCTGGGACAAGCCAAGTTTGAGGAATTTCTTCGATGTTTGGAGGGAGAAGTTAAGGTTTGTATAGATTGAAATAGAAACAGGAAATGAAATTGTGTCTTTTTAACGGCGTTTATTCAAGGACTCAGAAATTTGCTCTCGAAGAGAACTTGGTGTTGAATCAACATTTCTCCTTGTTGTCAATTTGGTTCCTTCTCAACTGATGATTTATTGTAGATTGTATATGTAGTGGGAACCTTTTCAAATGCACATCTTTTGTAACTTCACTGGAGAATAATTAATCAGAAAAAATATGATAAATACATGATTATGATGATTATAGATCATTGTAACAAATCGATTATAAGAATTGTGGGACGGGTCATTGGTGATACCGGTTATCATTGGTAATCGGTTTTATTGATGTCAAGTGTTATTATATGGCTGTGTCTCACAAGGAATGGGAACAACCAAATTCACAAATTTTATTGGCTGTAATCAATATTGAAAGCGGTCTAGATTTTCCCATCTAGACTGGCATCTAGACCGGTCTAGAAAAAAAAGGTACAAAGAATATAAAAAATTGGCATACGAGACACAGCCATATAATAAACATCTTATTAACCGAGCTAGGTCAGTCTGTATGGTAGAATCTTGACCCCGGTCGCTGGTACAGACCTCGGTCAAGATTCTCCCATACAGACCTCCCGCTCGATTAATAAGAACTAAGTATTGACTGGTTGATGCTTATTTTGATATTTAGATGTAACGAGTCTCTATGGAGGAATATTTCCATTTAGATGATTGCACATTTTTATATATTTATTTCAGGTCAAAGGATCCGCGAATGATAGAATTCTACTCCTTCCACTTTTGCCAGCGAAAGGTTTGTTATAAGGGTGAAAATTTATGGAGTCCTTTCTTTTTTTCAAACTGATTTTCCCCGGCTGAGACGAGAGATGTAGCTTTTTTGACTTACTTCCTCTCAATTGCAAAACTTGGTGATTATCACAGGTAAATGAAGGATGAGGTAAGCAGGATCTCATCCTCGGAGACCCAGGGGCTGAGTCGATTTCAAGTTAGGGCATGAAGAGCCCCTGGGGACATTGTCTTACAAGACTAGTTCCAAACGGTCACAGTCGTTCTGCCATCTGATTGGTGCCAGAAAATCTTTGTGTTTTTCTGCCCAATCAGAGTGAAGTGTGCGTTAGAGTCCTTTCGTGTCTTTTAACACGGACATATACTAGTAGCTCAGTTGCTCGCTATGTTTGTTTTAACCGTGCGACGGAGATTTGTTTGAGGTGATGTAAGAGAAATCGATCATGTCCGCGAAAATCTTACCGGAAATTGTACTGAATACTTTGGCAGGTATCACTAGAGAACGTGTTTCAAAGTTTGCGAGGTTTGTACACAACACGATGATTGCAGTCATTGATATGTCGCTTTAAACGTTAAACAAGATTTAAGCTTGAATCTTTCTAGATTTTCTGCATAATTTCCTGTGACTGAAACTTTGCCAATCCCGGAAAGTTATTTCGTCGCACGGGCCACGCAGGTATGTCAAGCAACTGGTTCTTGCACAACTTTTCGTGCGTGCCAAAATCTAATCTCATCTTCGCTTGAAAAAAAAGAAAAGCTGAACGTGGAAACTTTTGCTTTTTAGATGTGGGTAGATGATCCTGTTCTACTAAGCTCACATTTGCAATAAAGTAAACCCGCTTTTTCCATCCAATATTTCTTGGTCTTTGGTTTTTTTTTTCCCATTGAAAACAGCATCGGATCGATTCCCAATGATCAAAGGTGTTTAACTTGGTCTTAAACAATCGACAGAAGAGGTGAAATGACAATGACCAAGGGACAAGAAGAGAATCCGTGGCCTTCCTGGCTCAAGAAAGCCAAAGTATTCAGTACAATTTCCGGTAAGATTTTCGCGGACATGATCGATTTCTCTTACATCACCTCAAACAAATCTCCGTCGCACGGTTAAAACAAACATAGCGAGCAACTGAGCTACTAGTATATGTCCGTGTTAAAACACACGAAAGGACTCTAAAGCACACTTCACTCTGATTGGGCAGAAAAACACAAAGATTTTCTGGCACCAATCAGATGGCAGAACGACTGCGACCGTTTGGAACTAGTCTTGTAAGACAATGTCCCCAGGGGCTCTTCATGCCCTAACTTGAAATCGACTCAGCCCCTGGGTCTCCGAGGATGGCAGGATCTCAAAGTTCAAAGAAAATTGAGTGAATTTTTTTCAAGACAGGGAAAAATTGAAATTTCTTTGGCTGCCACTGAACGGTTGAGTGTGTTGAACTGTACTTATTTGTTCAGTGTTCATGGATTTCATGGCCGGATATGGCAGATTACGTTTTAAAGCACGTCTGTGGCAGCCTTAGATACGATAAGACAAACCCCCTCAAGTTTTGAACTAGAACTATTAATACCTTGCAGATAAACCTTCTCCCAGGTTGCAACTTCTTAGTGATAAAATCACTAAATTACTACTGAAGTATCCTGGCTGTAGAGTGGCCGAGTTTGCTTTCGCTGATATCTTCTTACGGGAGTATGGACAAATGTTAAAGCCCAAGGACCTGGGCTTCACTTCAATGGCCTCGTTAATACAAGCACTTGGAGATGTTTTAGAGGTCAGACATAGCGCTTTACTTTGGTTTACATCTACTTGACTATTGATTCATTTATCAAAGAATTTAGTGTGACTGCGGTAGCTCTTAATAATGTTGCTCTTGTCTTCGCTCTAAGCGCACATAACCTCTTTTAAGTAATACTTATCAGCTTTGATGATCGTACAGTTAAGTCGCGTCTTCAGACTAATACCATCTTGAACACGTTGATATTGCCGCCAGACCAATGAAAGAACCGTCGATTAGCATTGTATTTTGCTTGTCTCGCCCGAAGGGGTTTATCCTCAAACTTATTAGAATGTATAATACACTGTACATGGGTATTAGATTAAGTTTCGTACTTGAAGGTACAAAAGGCTCTCGGATCTTAGCTGATGTTTCAATCACCAGTCAATTAGAGGGGTTTGGTTTTGGAAGAAGCAGCCTTAACAGTGTGTTCTCTTGTGTGACCAGCAGCCATACTTGTTTAGTTAAATCAAAGAAAGAAACGAAAGAGTTAAATTTTCCTCTCACAACCTAACCGACTCTTTGTTATTTGGCTCTGATGACGGTTCACATGACGGTTCTGACGTCATTGGAACCTACTCCATATTAAGATAAAGCCTCATCAAGTCTTGCAGTGCCATTGTACCTTTGTTCCAACAGGTCCAAGGCAGCGGCAACATGGCAGCTGTTTGCCTTAAACATGAACATCTTCTGGAGGAGTTTTCACGTCGTGTAATTCATGTGTTAACCGAACAGTCGGATAAAAGTATTCCCATGTCCAAGTTCACAACTGCTTATGAGGAACTTTGTAACCACGAGCTGCGCGTACAGAACTTTGGTTTTGCGTCACTTGAAGATATGTTACATGCAGTTTCACCCGTAGTTAAGGTACTCAAAACATTTATACCTTGTTTTATTTTTATTAAACTGAAGAAATTCTGTAGTTTCAGTTTCAGTAACCCTTTGAATCCACCACATAGGGAGTTAACCTTCGTATTTTCACAAGAGCGCAACTTGCCGTTCCGTTTCGGGGTACCAGTCAGCCCTCTAGTTACCGTGGCGGCCACGGGGTGTATAAGTCCGTGACTTTCTTCACCCTGACTGGCTATCCCCCTACTTAGGACGTTGCCCGTGGTGCACGATGGGGACGTGGAGATGGTGACTTTGCATTCTTATCCTATCTATTTTGAATGAGCAGTTGCAATGTTTAGGGGTGTTCGGGGAAAGTAGAGTACAAATGGGAAGCAAACCCATTACCTTCGTAATTCTAGTATTGAAAGCTGTGACTTGTGCCTACGTAGTACAAAGCTGTAAGATCCAAAGAATGGATTGACGTAGAATTTAAGGGAAAAATTGAAATTTGAATTAAAAAAGAAACATTGGGAGGTGAAGCCTTATTCAGGGCTTACAGGGAATTTTAACCTGTGCTATGATCCCTATTCTGGGAATTTGTCTGGATTGCTTCTAATCTTTGAAAATTTGATAGTTGGAGGTACATTCAGATCACTACTATCAATGCAAACCTGCTCAGTAGTGGCTTTTACCTCTTCGCCAGGTCGATACCAAGGAAGACAAACTGACCTTGACACCGCTCCAGACTTTCGCTATCGAAGCAAGGGATCTTCTTAAACATCTCAGAGGATGTGTTTCTCTAAACCGCTTTGCGCCAAACTTCCAGCAGTTGTATGGTCGACCATGCAAGGCGTCTGATTACGGCTATAGTCGCGTATCGGAAGTGATAGACGCAGTGTCCAATGTGGCTGAAATACGAGGCAAGGGCGCTGAGAAGATGGTTGTCTTGGTCGATGGGGACAACGTGAGTCTGCTTGGACGCAGGGGTAAGATGAAGTTACTTTTAATTATTATTATTATTCTTATTTTGTACATTGTAGTGGCAATGACATTGAATTTTGTGAAATCTCTGTAAATACACGGGAATTGGTGCAATAAGACTCCGCATGGATCATATTGGACCTCCTGTTGGGTGTCAAAGTTTGTTGCAGCCTCAGAGTACTCAAGTCATTGAAGTGAAGGCGGAACATCAAGCTTTATGTGTATGTACGTACGTTTATTTGGTATAATTTCATATAGAACTTTTTTTTTAACCTGTTACAGATACAGAGCAGATGAAAGCTGGGACGAAAGACTGCGGTTTAAGTGACTCGACTTCTGTTACAGTGGAGGAAGGTAGGATTTCAAACGAATCCGGCTGCTTGTAGAGTCTTAATTTTACCCATGTAAACAAAAGCAAATATCAAGAATAACTGCTTACCTCGTTTTCCATTTTGTTTAAATTGCAGAGGAGGAGGTTGAAGTGATCATTGACGAGAAAGACGAAGAGGGTGAGTTCACAGTTTCCTTAACAGAAAGCAAATTGATCACTTTGGATGAAACATCAAACGAACCATGTGCACGAAGGATTCAGATGGAAATCTCATGCTTAAACAAGTCTTAGCTGTACTTCAATTTTTCAGAACTGGGAAAGGTGTTTTGCGCACTTATTCTACGCGATTTTTTCCGGTGAAGTGCAGGCAACCGTTTAAATCTTCCTCCCCAAAATTATGATCATCATCGTAGGTATCTCTGACTGTCGCCAGTTAACCATTCATGCACCTGCGCCATAAGAGTTGTGGTGAGGTTAAATAGCTTTAAGCGTGACAAGTAGGTTAGCCCCTTCACTCCCAAGAACTCATTAGTAATTCTCCTTACTGTCTTTCGTACAATTTGTTCGATGTTAGTTTGAAGAATTTGGTATTGGATCAACTGATAATTCCCTTATTGATATATTTCTTTATTCTCATCACTTGTCTGCTTGATATTGTATTGAGAATGTAAGGAGAAATTCTGTCTTGGTCACTCATGGGAGTGAAAGGGTTTAACAATCAGCCAGTGTTTGATACCAGACCTCTCGCTCTAAGATTTGATTTCTACAACTCCCTCCGCGATAACAGCTCGAGGATTTACGATACATCCCTATGTGTGAGTGTTACTGCATGATTGGACATCGTTTGTTTTTCTCACCGCGCTTATGTGTTCATTGTTGTGTAGATTTGATAATTCTTGATGGTGAAGCCTCCAGCACCTTCCCAGACCAGACTGTGACCGATGATTGGCTGATGGCACCAGTGCCCGAAACTCTTCCAGCGCCGGAGCTGCAGCCCGCTGTTCCCGAGCCACCTCCCGTTGGAGATCTGATATCCTTCACCGAGTTTGACATGGAGATGCTGCTGGAAGTGTTAGATGACGCGGGGCTTTCTGACTCTCCGGGAGGTGACTTGACTGAGTTATTAGCAGATTCCAATGAACTTTCAGGAGAATACAACGGAGCAAGGTCGCCACAGGCTAGCCTCTCTGACAGGCTTTCTCCTAACGGTAAGCCCTCGTCGTCCAGTTTAGATCTCAAAGATTTGGAGTTTACCTTTGTATCTCCGGCACGTGAAAGGAATAAAACACAAGTGCAGGCGAGTCCATCTCCTCGTAAGGGTGGGGTTCTGTTCCTCTCCGAAGTGGAAGCTGATATCCTGTCTGACTGTCAGCCGGAGACTGAATTTGCAAGAAATCTCGCCACGTCATTTGGAGAAGAAGGAGTAGAAAAACCCGTTGTACAACGAAAGAGTTCTGATGAGAACAGGAGAGCTAAACCAAGGAAGTTCTCTGCTCCGAAAGTCAAGTTAGCTGTTAATTTCAGGAAGACAACAAACAAATGAAAACTCCTGTGACCAAGAGCCAGTGGTAACAAAGTTGGTTAACCTGTGACCAAGAGCCAGTGGTAACAAAGTTGGTTAACCTGATTCTATTTTCGAGTAGTCTAGCTTTCGTAGATGTTTCTTTCCTACTTTTTTTTGGTTATTGCAGATTTCTGTTTTATCTTGGCGGGGTACAGACGTATGGATCTTGTTTGTAGAAGATCCGCTTGCCTGGAAGGAGCTAAAAAGTTTGATAGTATATTTTTCGTTTAACTTAGGCAATCGACCATGTACTATGTGCCTCTTGGTTTTACTTTCACGTATATTGGTTTGTCTGGAATTGCTTATGTCAGATTGAAATTTTAGTACATTATTTCCTCGATTCTTTAATGGTAGAATATGCTTAGTCCTTCCTTGTCTTGCAATTAAGATTCTCGGCAGATTTCTCCTTCTCTTTGATACAAATTGGACAGAGAGAACTAAATCTGTTTTGTTTTCAAGATAATATTTTTCTTAAGTAAGAGTGATTCCTCCTCGGTGAAGTGTCAGTAAGAAATTAAAGAAGTAGTTTAAAGGGCTGTATTATTTGACCTAGTGAAGTGGAACAATAATTGTTGTGCATCGTGAACTAAGGAAGACGTTGTAAAGTATTTTTCTTTCTATTTCATTATTACCCGGAAATTTTTCCTCCATTCTTTTAGGAATACACTCAGGCGGTGATTAGCATTTGCCCATGAACTCATTCCTTAAGAAAAGCTGTTGTTTCACAAAACACTGAAACAGAGGTGGACGATTGCTTCCAGATATGACACAACTCAAAGCAATTTTTGAGTATAGGGTTGATATTTGGTGACTTCGCATTCCCAATGCATGGTCTTATGATAGAGTTCTCAACCTGAGCTGCGTGCAGAAATGTTGTTTATGTGTTTTCGTTCATTATTTCCACCAATTATTCCTTCGGGAAAATGTTGGCCTGATAATTTTCTTTCAAGCCTGTTCGTTAGCCAGCAGGCAGATCCTTTGATGTGATTTGACGATATGGGACGTCCCATTGACGTTATCAGTGGGTGTTTTCCAGTCCTTTCCGAGTCATCAAGGATGGTGGCGTGTTAGTGTTTGTGTTGTTTATGTCAGTGTTGAAACGCGCGTGGCTTCATGCTTAACTACTACATGGGATGATGTCATTTGGGGCAGAACGAGAGTACGGTACGTTAGATTGTATTAGATACAGAAGGACGACTTGTTGGAGGGTTTTGCGATACTTGAACCTTGACAATAGAAGACCAAAGGATCAGCATCTCCATGTTCTACCCATAAAAATCTTGTAGACGTTACAGATTAAACAGATCAACGACATGTCCAGATGCTGAATACAGAAAATGGATTATAGACCCATACCGATGGTAAAAATGACGAGTAAGTCGGCTCTTCGTGAGTGTTGCACAGGAATCAAGGAAATCATTTTGAAATCCAAAACAGTCAGATTTAAATATTTTTCTCCAAAAAAGATGGAGTGATGTTTAGGATTATTTTATTACTAGCGTTTGTTAAGCCTGGATCAGTTTGCAATATGTAACGTTGAACAGTTAGAAGGAAAAGGTTTCTTTGATGAAATGTCGACGAATATATATTGAATGCAGACAAGAATTGGACGAACATCACAGCGTGGTTCTTGCGCTTGCCTGGCTTTTTTAACAGATTTAAAAGACGTAATCGTTACAAATGAGAAAGATAGAGGGAGAAACTCTGAATACAAGGCGAAAGGTGGACTTAATTTATCAGGAATTTTGTGTCAGCAACGCTCCCCATGAACTTGCGACAAGAGAAAAGAGGAAGGATATTGGACGCTCCATAGAGAAATTCTACGCCTGCAGAAAAGAAAAAAAAAAGTGGTTAGAAGCTGGTTTTTATAGTGTAGTACTCGAGCTCGAAATAAATAGTTTTGTTTTCAAATTATGTACGAAGGAGAGGGAATATTTCTTTCGTTTTTATAAATTCAGTGGGTTTCGATTTTCTCTGACTGAAATAGCAGTATGAGGGAAGCTCTCGGAATTCAGTTGCTCGTCTCATACTTTCAGTGGACAGTGGCATAATTAGAGTGAGACGAAGACCTCGGATGTTGAGAATCATGGCAGTACAACGCGGCTTTTATCAGAGAGGGAAAGTACAAATGTCCAGTTCTCTTTCTCCAGTCAAAAGAAGGAAAAACTCTTCGTCAAACTGCTGGACTGTTCCTAGATATAAAAATATTATTCACACGATACGTAACGCTGATTTACATTTCACATCTTGGAAACAAAGGCAACCGACGAAAGCATTTTCACAAAGATCTCGCAAACGATACTTGTGGTCCTTAACCCCACAACAGTAATAAAGAAAACATTTGTGATAACTGGCCGTGGAAAACATCAACTGGAAACTGTGAAGTAAAAGATGAAAATTTGACAGAATGAGTAAGGATTATATTGGGCTACGTCAGCGAAGAAGTTTTTATGTTCATGCAAATACCAGTATGTTTAAGATATTCGTACCACTCAGTTTTAAGATTATGACGACAACATCGAAAAAATTTAGTCTGCTAGTCTTACAGATACCAGCTAGCAGACAAAGAGGAGAAAGTCTTTATTCACGTAGGAGTTGTCGAATTTTTAAGCTAAGGCCTTCGGGACTAAGCGAACAGTAGTTTTTTCTTTTGAGTCGCGTCCGAAAGATTCCACTTTTCCTTTCGAAGAAGCTGCCCTAATTTGAGTTACTTTTACTCTTATCGGTCCAAGGCGCTTAGGGAGCACACCAATCCATTATATTTCAAATTTGATTAAGTCACGTTGAAATATGAGACTGAAATATGAGACTGAACCCTGTTAATCAGAAAACTGTGAAGGAGCTGCGCACGAAGAGGACCCCAAAAAGTTACACGACCTTGTTGAGGTACTTCGCAAATAAAGTTAGACAAGCATGAAGATGTGTAAATAAGAGATTGATGAGAAGAAAAACTGGAAAGGAAGCCAATTTTCAACAGCTATATATATCCTAATTGAAAGGTTTGGTCTCTGCCAACGACCCAAATAAATGGACGGCTCGGAAAAATTAATGGAGAATCATCTGAACTTAGATCTGCCTTCTTTGGCGAGGCATTATAATTTGTATTGAGTGAGTGAGGTTTGGGTCAGTATAGAGTCCTCGTTCAATCCACTGGAGAAGTTCGGAAAATTCAATTATGTAAGTTGGAACTGAGATAAAAAATAGTCAAAGATAATGCAAACACTTTGCGGAAACTGTTGAAGACGTTCCGTTTTGTATTTCAAGCGTGGAAATAGACGTTGATGTCAAAGAAGGAAATTAAGGAAAAATGATCATTTCAACGGAATGCTTTTCTAACTACCAGGCATGGTAAACAAGAACACAAGTAAAGACAGGGAATTTTCCAAGTCTTGCTAGTTCCGGCGAGAGGGGCATCCTGAGAGTCGAGAGTTTACAGCAAGTATTGAATATGGACAGTCATGCTGAGAGGAATTGTTTTAAAAAAAACTTATTTCACTAAGCGGTTGTTGAGTTTTAGCATGAATGAGGTTGAGAACATCTATTAAAGCGATGCAAATTCAATCATCCCGCGAATGGGGCATTTTTGTGCTTAAACTTCTTGCTAACGGCTCCTTCGGGATGAAGGGCCCAAATTACCTCAGCTCCTTTCAGGTGGACAAAGTATGAATTCATTCACGGGGAATTATACTTGTTCATGAATCACGGCATTACAAATATTCTTCTTGGCTATGAGTCTTTCCAGCGAATTTCGGCTTAGTATTTTCTCAGAACTCGATACTCATGGTGATTTTGTGGTTGGAATTCTTCACTTTACTGCTAACCGGTTCATGTTTCCACTTAAGAAAAATAAAAAGAAACCGTAGTCAAATAATGCAGCCCAAATAGCCTTTCTCCGTGACTATCTCTTCTGTAGTTTATTGTTCGTATTTTTTCCTAACCGATTATAATATCAGTTGCAGATAATTTGCATAGTTTTGTTTTACTGTTTAATAACTAAACTATAAGTTATTTGGTATGTTATAGTTACGAAGGTAGTTTTGATGTCTTACCTCTGGCTCAGTGGCAAATTAACGACTTACGTTTATTATTTCGTTATTACAAAGAAATACTTTCCCTTTTACATTAGTTGTTTGTGTGAAAGAAGGAACTTGACTATCGTGGCGTTCAGTGTCTGTCTCAATAAACTTCCTTGTTTGATGAAAGGTGATGTTTTGTTTTGAAGCAAGAACCGAAACTTGACTTTGTTAATCGAACAAGACACAATCGTGTTTATTTCGTCGGTCGAATGTTGCCTCGTTATTGTCTTTATTCTAGTCACCGTGTGCAGGACGGCAAGCAGACAGAGTTATAGTAATTACCTCTTCATATTTTTTTCTCAGAAATCAAACGTCCGTCTTGATTTAACAGCAAAAAAATTTCACGATGAACTGTTTTGAAGGAGTCTATATGGTCCAGCGACTTTCTTGGTATTCCAAGAACTGTTTTTAAGTAAATTCAAATTCAAGAAAAAGAAGATAAAACTATTGACCTTCATTCTGTCTAAAAATATTTCAAGTTCTTTGCTATCTCGATACCGTGTTAGTAAAGTCAAGCTGCTGTTTTTACTCCTCGCGAATGCCTTAATTATTATTCGTCGCGAAATAACAATACATTGTGATGAAATTATGCTTCCTAACCACAGCAAGGATTTATTTACCGCCAGAAATCACATAATTGTTAATAAAGTTGCGTTAAGTGGTACTTGGGTTCCAAGTACCACTTAACGCAACTTGTATTTCCCTAACATCTTAGAAAGTCAGAGTAACAAGTCAAAAATGGAAGAATGACAAGGCGAAAAAGTCGCTTCACAGTTGTAAATTATAACTCAAAACAAGTGGGGTTTACAGGTTTGTCAAAACAAGGTCAGATCTCAATAGAAGAAAAGACGAAGTCTTAAAAATGGAAATATTTTCTGATTGCATCTTAAGACGCTTTACATTTTCCAGAGTCAATGACTCTAGCACTTAAATAGATGATTTATAGGGGTATTAAACTGAAATAAAGTTGGGCTACTGAAAAGGAAGTCTATTAACTAAGAATGAAAGTTTTTGTACGTCGCAATTGGCCTTGTTTTCGGTTGCACAAGAGCTGATCAAAAGCTGAATATCCTTACTGCCGCTGTAGCGCTGTAAGTTTCAAACTCAGTAAATTTTTTGGTGAGTTTATTTTGATCCCGTGGCTCTAACGGAGGATAATTACTCCTGATACTAATGTGTTCTTTTCGAACATGATAAAATGTTTCGTAAACTTGTTTACCCTCAGGCTCTGACACGTAATTTATTTGCGGAGATATTTAGATAACCAGAATTGACGCTGAGGCACTTGTATACCAAAGCGCTGGAAGAAAAATTAAAAGTTTTACACTACCTGTGTTTTCAAGATCATACGAAGCTTTGAAGATTTAACTGGAAGTAAGTCTTTCTTTTCTAGGTCATCAGAATTGCTACATATCTGGGACTACCATATTCAGATCGATATCTCGGTAACTACGCTCTTTACTTTGTTTTTCAGCTCGATGATCTTGTCGGGAAAAAAGTTGGCTCTTCTTATGTTGCTGATTGTGGAAATGGAATTGCTCTTTTGTACAATCGATGCTTCTCCGTGGTGGAGACGTCGACGGCGGCGCCGTCGATCGCCCCCAGCAATCACACCACCGCCGCCAACTCCACCACCGCCGCCTTGCAACTCTTGTGTTCCCCGGTTAACCATCGGGGGCCGGGCAAAGAAATGGGTTAATGCATGGCAGCAGTCATTCCGCGTGTATTGCCCTGACGGTAAGACTGTAAACTCCGTTATTCTACCGAACTAACAACATCTTAAAGTTTTTTTTTATTATTATTATTAGTTTTGTCATTGAGTGATGAGAAATGATAACTTGAAATTGTGTACACCTTCTAACGGATCTCAAAGCTCATCGAAAGCTGTTAAAATAGCCTTTACCCTTTGTTTTGCCTTTTGTAATGCCAACGTTCTCCTTATCTGAAAAAGGACCTGTGCCCCATTTGCCTTACATTTTGATACTAGGCTGTTCAATGAACTGGTGGATCAGTGTTTTCCGAAAATGTCAGGCGGACTGCATTCATCATTTTCGCTGTGACCTTGGTCCTGCTATTTATCGTGGAGCCTAAGACTGTATCTGGTCTAACTTTTTGACGAACGCAGCTTCCGCCAGTTTTACGTACACGTGTGGTTCGCATGGATTTATCACTGGAATTGAGAGCGACTTTAATACGATTACTAAAGATCGCAGGTACCTAGGCCTGTTTTTTTCTTTTCTTTTTTTTTTTTCTTTTGTTCTTTTTTTTTGCGCTGTCTCAAACGAATTTTCCTCATGGTGAAATCACTTAGAAAAAACGAAAGAAAGAATTAAATTGAGTGGTGACGAAAACTAGCGAAACATTTTAAAACTTGAGACAAAAATCTCACTAAGAAATTTTAACTTGCTGCGAACATCAACTTTAATTCAACCTGTAAGTCTTGCTTTTGTAGGCTTTTCGGTCTGCATTTCCTCGTTTCTTCATCAATGGTCCGAATCGTCTAGAAGATCGGGCAGAACTTTATGAAATTAAAATTTAGGCCAAAATTTTCAAGAAGCCCTCAAAAGTGGGAGACAAAAATCAAACGAAGGATGTACTTAAATGGCAATAAACAACACCTCGTCTTGCTCTACATAAAGTGCCCATAAACTCCCAAATGTTTTTGCTTAAATAAATCTTTTTATAATTAAGTCTGGTTTTTTCTTCCCACGACCGAGTAAAAGGGAGACTGGGACTAGTGGCGTAAAACCCGGACAACAGAGAAGACGCGAGCTGGAGACGCGTAGTTTTCTTTGTGCGCCGTTGAAAACCATTTTTATTCGGTTGATATTTGTTTTCTGCGCACACGTTGATCAAAAAATGGCTTCGTACGACTTCATTCCAACCTCAAGTTCAGATTCTGAAGTCTCAGAAATGAAAGATTGCGACTTGGAAGTTGATGGTTCACCAAACTCGAGTTCTACGGCAAGCGATGAGAAAGGCACGCGCGAGGCATATGGCGACGATACGCTAGCGGACGAGGAATGGATAGAGTTGTATGAACGAGACAGAAAGGTGGAAGGGGTCCTAGATTAGGCGCTCCAAAAGCACCTAAATAGTAGAGAAAAAGTCCGAGACTGGTAAGTTGCCGGCTGCGATAACCTCACTCCCGTTGTTGCGAAGCTTATCAATAAGTGCACATTGGGCATGGTTTCAGCTTTGATCGAAGTCACAACATGCGAAGCTCACAGTCCGGGTTTTACGTCACGAATTACACTCGATTCAATACCTTTCGGCAGGTTCCGCTGCTCGGTCATGGGTTTTCGAATCTCGATTTTCCGCCACTTTAACAATTCATAGAAAATTCGGCTTTTAACCAAAAACAAAAATTTTTGCGCCATTTTTCTCAGAATTATAAAAACATTTATCTTAGCAAAAAAAATTGGGGGTTTATGGCCACTTTAAAGTTCTCATATGCGAATTTTTCCTTCCATTCTAGGATAACAGTCCGTTGCTCTCATGTGAAGGGCTACAAATATGACAACAGTGATTGCGAGAACACGGGGTACAAAAACGTGTATGAAGGACTTTTGAACTTCAGAGCTCGTCCGGGTTACACCGTAGTTGGTGTGGTCAGTCAACACAGCTCGAGGTTTGTGATCTTTTTTTCTTGCATGCAAAAACAATTTTCAGGTTATGTGTGACTGCACCATGAATATTCTTAAGTAATGATCTTTTTTAAGGAAACAAAGTGTTTCGTGAAAATCAAGCTTTTAGTAATGATTATAAGTCTAAAACTTTTCACATAGTAAATTGTATTCTCATTTAGTCCTTTTCCGGCTTTTCGACTGCGTTCGGTTTATTTTAAAATTTTTTTATAAATTTTTTGGCATTTAAATGACGTGTTTTTAAAGACATTGCTGTTTCTTCTTTTTTTCTTGTAACCACAAGGATCGTCGCTGGGATTTTCGTGTCTGTAAATTTAAAACAAGCCAGGGGCGGAAAAAACAATGGAAAACTTCAGACGCACAAGAAACAAAAGAAGCAGATAGAATCAAGCGCAGGGCTTTAATAAATATGCTTTGTAAGGGTGTTCATAGGGCAATAAAATAAAACTACTCTTATACTCGCCGAGATAAGATGTAAAATTAAACGTGTAACTTTAAATGGAAAGGGACAGCACGAAACAGACAAAAACTTCTGTCTGACGAGCGCTTACACGCGAAACTCAGAGTCACAGAGAATCGATGCGTCCTCATTAGATCTTTAACTTTTGTATATATCAATATATATATATATATATATATATATATATATATATATATCAATATATATATATATATATATATATATAAGTTATCTGAAATGCCTTTTCTAAGGTTTAGCTCTTAGTCCATCTTCAGAGTTCCTCCAGAGCGCAGATAAAGGAAAGGATGTCATCGGTTTGCAACTAGAAATATAATTTTTCCGGCTATAAAAGTATTTTCATTAAGATTGCCCTCATTGATTAGATCTGATAATTGAGGGTAAATGTAAGGTGGGACTGAGATTTCTATTTCGCAATAAACGCTTGCTAATATCTTTGATGTACCTGATTCTACGTTTTTGGTGCTTTTTTTTAAACCTGGGTTTGGCAGCAAGAAAGAAAGGGATATTTATACCGCATGAAAACTCTTTTTAAACATATTCAACAGGTGACGTACAAAGGAACTGGGAATCTCTCTTTGTTATATATCGAACCCTATGCCATCTAAAATTTTTTCTTCTTGAAAATTTGAACTTTTCTCTCCAAATTTCATATTGTGTATCCTGATTTTCCCGCTTGGACCGCATTTTATTTCGCTTTTCGGTTCAAGGGTGTGACTTAACATATATAGACCATTTTCCAAGCCTCCTTATGTCTATAACTTTGATGCATGGTGTTACTTCATCTTGGATTCAAAACGATCGAACCTGGGACGAATATTCATCCACGTCACCATAGATGACGTCAATGAAAACGATGAAACTTGTATGGGGGAGGGGGAGGGGGAGGGAGAGGGGGGAAGGGAGGGTGGAGAGTCCCTTCAGGTAATGGGGCGCTTGTCAATGAGGATTGGGAAAATTATTTCGATATTTGTATGAGACCTTAAAGAAGGGAGATCTTGTGACTTCAACCCTAGTCCCCTTTTAAATAGAAGTGGCACAAAAGAAACAACAAAACGTTCTAACAGAAACAGCTGTGTGCAAACTTTGCTTTCTGTAAAGAGTTGGCTGTTGCTACTCAATGCAGATCACATGATGACTCATTTGGGTCGTTAATGTTGCAAAAAGTCTTTTCATCAAAGAGAATCCTTCACTTCACGGATTTTTCTTGTGGTCTTCGTGACTTGCGTACTTTCGTGGTCTTGCATAATGTGGGATGCAGTAATGATATTCATGGTTATAGCTTTTTATAAATCGGGGTCAAATTAACTCAATAAACTGAAAGAGCTAAGTTCACGCTCTGCTAAACAAACAACCCAATTATTTTCTATGTCTTCTGCTCATCAGACTGATTCTGAAAAGTTCCTCATCATAGATTTTAATGACATGTGAAAGCAGGGAATTAAGTTCCCAAAACAAAAAACCTAGCTAATAGCTACCTGACCGATCGTTTCAATGTGAAAATGAAACAAGACGTATATTACTATCAAAGCGCTGTTCCTCAAAACTACTATCCTCTTCTAGCAATCCGTTTCTAGGTATTCTGTTTTGTGTTCTGCTGAGTCATTTCGAACAAATGATAGGAATAGAAATAGGGGGGGGGGGGCAAAAAGTTAAGATTTCAAAAGCGAAAGTCTCTGGATGCTTCTTTAGAAACAAACTGTTTTACATAACGGCAGGCGTCACTTGATCTGTCTCAGGCAGAACAGAGGCTTGATAAAACTGATCCAGCATGTCTTTTAGCTCTTGTTCACTGTTTTGTTTACCCTAATTCACTCTTGAAACTGGGTGAAAGCGATTTTCAACTTGCACACGGATATGACATTAGCTATTGAAGACAATGAGTTTCTGAGCACTTTATAGTTGGGGTGATCAGGCCCACAGTCCAAGAGGTAAGATTTTCATCTCTGGTCACCTTTTATTTCCGAACCGAGATCGATTTCTTTCTGACGTTTCGCCCATTGCCATCGCGTTCGACTTCTAAACTAGGCATTTGCACTTCGTAATAGAAATGTTGAAACCGTGGCACTTAGGGATCCTATCATAACTTTGTGCATGGCTGATAACATCGAAACTAGAGGCTCGGCAACTCTTATGGATCGGTGTTACATTAACATTCAAGCTAAAGACAAAGCTTTATCGGGCTTGCTCTAAATAATATAAGAAACATCGCGTGATTTGGTTGTCTCTAAAACAAAATGACTTTGCGAGTTATCACGCATGATTAATTATTCTCCTCCAAAGAAATCAAATATTTAGAGTTTGACGGAGAGTAAAATACGAAACGAACGGAGCAACCTGAAAGTTACTAAAAGTTAACTGGTTAACTCAATTAACAATAAGGCTACCGATTATGAAGCTCCAACAAGTTAGTCGTAGTTATGATTCCTTCTAGTTCTCTTTAATTCTACCATAGTTTCACATACTCGGCCTTTGTCACTCCTGCACCAATCAAAATTGCTTAAGTTTGTTCGTTTCGACTGGGTGGTTTTGCAAATTTTGGTTAGTTGTTATTTTTAGAACTAGCCCGCTTAGACACAGAAATTGTTTAAGTTCTGACCGGGCCCATCTCGCTTCCACGCGATTTGCAAATAACATGTCATGTTCTGTGCCATTCAACATTCCAAGCGAAAATTTAACTATCCGCAGAAAAAAAACGGATATTTGTGTTTTCCTTTTCAAAAAATTGTTGAGTTGACTCTGATTCATTTAAATCCTGGTGAACTGTGTGGTAAAATTGTCTTTTGACTAGATTTGAAATATCATTTGTCACATACAAAATATGTTTTTTTAAACTGAGGAGTGTAAAAATAGACTTTCGCCTGTTCGAAGAATGGATGATTTCGTCCGATCTGAATAAGTCGCCCTCCCACTAAAGCGCGGAATAAACTCAATATCATCAGTCACTTCACACCGGGTGCAAAATAAAAATAAATTCTTCAGTATCCTGAAGGTGTACTTATAGGTATTGTATTTTGTGATCTGTTGGGTCATTTCAAATAAACTGTAAGAATACGAATAGGAGGGCAAAAGGTTAGGATTTCAGAAGCGAGAGTCTCTGGATGCTTCTATAGAAAGAAACGTTTTTGCATATCGGCATGCGTCACGTGATCTGTTTCAAGCGGAACAGGGAGGCTTGATAAAACTCATCCCGCATGTATTTTAGTTCTTGTTGACTCTTTGTTGACCAATCGCTCTTGAGACTGGGTGAAAGCGATTTTCAACTTGCACACGGATATAAAGTTGGCTATTGAAGATAATGAATTTCTGAGCCCTTTGTAGGTGGGGTGATCAGGTCCACAATCCAAGAGGAAAGGTTTTCACTTCTAGTCACCTTTTATTTCCGAACTGAGATCGATTTCTTTCTGACGTTTCGCCAATTGAATTAGCGTTCGATTTCTAAACCAGGCATTTCTACTTCGAAGTAGAAATGTTGAAACCGTGGCACTTAGGGATCCGTATCAAACTTTGTACTTGGTTGTCAACAACGAAACTGGAGGCTCGGCAACACTTAGGGATCGTGGTATTTCATTAACATTCAAGCGAAAGACTGAGTTTTATCGGGTTTGCTCTAAATACGATAGGAAATATTGCGTGATTTGGTTGTTTCTAGAACAAAATTACTCTTTGCGAGTTAATACGCATGATTAATCATTCGCCTCCATAGAAAACAAATATTCAGAGTTTGATGGAGAGTAAAATACGAAACAAACAGAGCAACTTGAAAGTTACCAAAAGTTAACTGGTTAAATCAACTAATAAGGCCACCGATTATTAAGATCCAACAAGTTAATTTTCGTTACGATTCCTTTTCATTTCTCTTTCTACTGCTGTTTCAGCCTTTTGTCACTCTTGCACTAATATAAATTGTTTAGTTTTGTTCGTTTCGCCTCGGTGGTTTTACAAGTTTTGGTTAATTGTTTTTTGTATAACTTGCGCGTTTAGACACAGAAATTCTTTAAGTTCTGACCGGGCCTGTCTCGCTTCTACACGATTTTCAAACTTTATGTCATAACTTTTGTTCTGTGGCATTGAGCATTTTAAGCGAAAACTTAACTATCAAAAAAAAAAAATTGAATATTTGTGGTTTCCTTTTGAAAATTTGTTAACCTTCGTCGATTGTTCGAAGAATAGATGATTTCGTCCACTCAGAATAAGTCTCCCTCCAGCTAAACTATATCCTTAGCATCATCTGTTTTTTTGGAGGACGAATAGCGCTATCCGCTCCTCATCCAGCGCGCAATAAACTCAAGATAAGATAACTTCATATCGGGTGCAAACTAAAAATAAATTCTTCAGCGTCCTGATCCGCCTGGATATGTTATTAAATGCAGTAATTGCTTTTCAATTTCAGAAAAAGTTTATGATGGCCTCAGCAGCGGCACCATCGTTTCCTTCAACAACAGAGACAACTAATTACGCCCGGTTATGCAGACTCCTGGTAGGTGTTGGCTCAGATGTTCTGAGAGAGACTTTTGACAAGAAGCGTCCACCAGGAGACCTGGGCACGGTCTTGTCAAGTTCTCGAGTCCATAAAGAGCTACAAAAACTTAAGGAAAAAAACGTGCGGAAGCTATCCCAATGGAACAAACTGTATCCTGTCAAAAAATCTTCAGTCTCATCAAACAACTTCGACATCACTTTTCTAATGATCCTGCTGAGGAGCATTTGTAGTCTTTTTCCTCCACCTACCGGCTGGGATGCACCTCCTCCTGCGACAGACACAACCCTTGAGGCAGATATCGTTCGCATCAAGTGGTACAGAAACACGATTTATGGTCACGCCAGCCAGGCCTCAGTCGATGACGTAACATTCAATCAGTATTGGCAGGACATCCAAGGTCCATTGGTGCGACTGGGAGGAGCAGGTTAGAAAACCTGCTCCTCCGGTTTTCATGTAGAAAACCGGCTGAAATGCTGTGGCTCTTTGATTGCCGTATTACACAGACTGGATTAAGACAAATCTGTGAAGCTCTGAAGTTAGAGCTCAGCACCATCACTGATCTTGACCTTAGTGACTGTTCAATGGCCGTGAAATGTGTTTCTACGATCGCAGAATCGTTGCCATTGACTAACGTGACCACCCTGTCGCTGAAAAGTAATCGAATCACCGATGCCGGTGTTGCCAGTCTATGTCAAGCATTGCAAACAGCGACATGTAAAGTCACTCAACTGAATTTGGATGATAACGAGATCACCGATGCCGGTGTTGTCAGTCTATGTCAAGCATTACAGACAGCAACATGTAAACTCACCGAACTGAATTTGGATGATGATAAGATCACTAATGCTAGTGTAGTCAGTCTAAGTCAAGCATTGCAGACACCAACATGCAAAGTCACCGAACTGGATCTGAGTGGTAATCGAATCACCGATGCTGGTGTTATGAGTCTAAGTCAAGCATTGCCGACAGAAACATGTAAAGTCACCAAACTTCGTCTGAAAAGCAATAAAATCACCGACACTGGTGTAGTCAGTCTATGCCAAGCATTACAGACAGCAACATGTCAAGTCACTAAACTTGATGTGAGTTTGAATCAGATCACCGATGAAGTTGTTGTAAGTCTATGTCAAACTTTACAGACGGCGCAGTGTCAAGTTACTGATTTGTTCTTGTTGGGTAATTCTGAGATCACCAGTGTTGGTAAGAAGCATCTCAGAAAACTTTTGAAGCAAAAACCTCGTCTTGACCTTGTATTTTAAGACTTAAGAGAGAAATTATCAGCATTCTTTCTCTACATATCTCCAAAAATTATAGAAACAGTGCAAACGAACATTAAGAACAAAATACATATATATACTTTCGAGTGATTTAATTAAGCACTAAAAATATTTCTCATCATTTAATGTCAGATACTGTTTTATTTAAAATCATTTTCCAGAGAAGTTCTCGAGAAGAGACTTTGCATAAACGGAACAGTTTTTAGTATATGATCATGATGAACAGGTGGGACAGAGATGTGTTCTGAATGAAAATATAACAGTGATTGTTTCAGAGATTCACAAATGTGAGTATTTATTGGATTATATGGACAATTACTAGCTTCACTTACAGTCTGATTCCTGCCTTACATTAGCAAATGAAAAGAAGTTTTTTTAAGCAGGATAGATATCGAAAAAATAACATCCCGTATGTCTCCGAATCAGTGCCCACGCTCTAATGAGCACCTTTAACTGAATACGCATCACACCTAAGACCATAAGGTCAATCAAGCGCTTACCTCCCCCTTCACTCTTTTAGCAGCGATACAGGGAAAACCTCATCCTTGGAGACCCAGGGGTTGTCAGCTGATCGCTTGTCATCGACTGACAGCCCCTGGATCTCCGAGGATTGTAGTAACCACTTCCGGTTGTCGTTTTGTTACCTCTCAATCATGTAATTTTCTGGTTAGTAAGAGAGAGAGAAAAAGCTTGGCGCCGTTGTAAAACTTGGAGTTCATCAAATAAACCGCTCCATGAAATAACATTCTAGCGTGCAGTCAATACAATACAAGGATAGGAAGACTTGCTTCTATCATCACTTTCGCAGTAAAGCACTATTTGAGCAATAGTGAAAATCAGACCTGAAAAAAATTTCAGGCCTGTACGGGATTCGAACCACTGACCTCTGCGATACTAGTGCAGCGCTCTACCAATTGAGCTAACAAGCCAACTGGGAGCAGGCCATCAAATTAATTCGACATAAACCCGTAGATGATAAATCAAACAACAACAAACATATGAAACATATGT